GGGCACTTGTGGGGATGAGCACTGGGTATTATATGGAAATCAATTGACAATAAACTATTTGTAAAAAAAAAAATAAAAAATAAGTGGTCACATGCTTTTTTAAAAGGAAGGCCAGTGTGTCACTTTTATGGGGAAACTGGATGACAGAGTGGGAAGGAGTCTTTTGTTTGCCATTTCATATCTTTTGAATCTTGAATTATGTAAATGTATTATATTTCCAAAACTTTAAAATTATTCTTTTCAAAAAAGTCAAGGGGCGCCTGGGTAGCTTAGTTAGTTAAGTGTCCGACTTTCGCTTAGGTCATGATCTCGCGGTTCGTGGGTTCGAGCCCCGCGTCGGGCTCTGTGCTGACTGCCAGCTCAGAGCCTGGAGCCAATTTCAGAGTCTGTATTTCCCTCTCTCTCTGACCCTCCCCTGCTCATGCTGTCTCTCTCTCTCTCTCTCCTAGAAATAAATAAAAAATATTTAAAACAAAAACAAAACAAAACCAAAAAAAAACCCAAAAAAGTCAAGTGAAGAGAGTTCTCTTAGAGGGTTCTTTCCAGTACCCAACAAACTTCAACCTGAAATTACTAAATTTTGAGGGGTGCAGGGGAAGCATTTTTTTGCACTCTAGTGTAGTAAGTATTTACTAGTCAAAATGAAATTGTTAATGTTATAGTCCTTAATAAATTAATATCATGTTATGTATTTTAAATTTTCGGGTTCATATACATTACTTATATAGTAAGTGAGTCATAAAACTGTGGATAAAATTATAGATCTAATTTTATTTGAGGGATATTTTGGTGTCAAGAGATAAGGGATAGAAGAGCCAGAATTTTCCAAAACCGAATGTTCATATCAATTCTGTCAAAATAATCTTAGTTACTGTAGTGCTTCTGAAATGACTATGCTTATCTTCTACCAGGCCATCCCTATACTGTATTCCAGGTAAGGATTTAGACCATTTTTGTTAATTCCTTGCTACTGCTGTTTTTCATACAAATATTGACGTTTCTGCTTACAAACAACTTACCTTCATCTACTGTGGTCATATCTTGTTCTAGTTTCAATTTCTGTTGGTTAATTTTTAGCATGGATTCTTCAATTGTCCCTTGGCTTATTAATTTTATAACTAGTACTTCTCTAAAGAAAATAGAAGATATGTCCACTGGTTACTTAATATAAAACTTAGATACATATAAACTATATAAAACATCCTAGAGGTCAGTAAGAATAATGTGAAGATTGCATAATAAATATATTCCTAACTTTAAATTTCCTTTTATTCATATTATTTGGGATTAACATTTTCTGAGCATGTAACTTTTAAACATCCTTTCTTATTGATCCAAGAAGACAAAGATATCTGTACTCCAAAAATTACTAGTAAAACTTATTACAATAAACAGTTTGGGTTCAGATAGTTATTCCACTTTGAAAACGAACATGCTTTGCTCATCACGTTCCAATCAATTTAGTACAAAAAGGGAGTATAGTGAAGTACAAAGATTACACAGGCATTTTAGTCCTATAATAGGGACTGATAAATATTTGGTTCATAAATGAATTTATCAATGTCTTTTGGAAATACATACTCCACAGAGAAAACAATGATTACTGGCTACTCACATGTGAAAGCAGAGTTGAATTATAGGTATTTTCACCTCCAATGTCAAAATGAACCTTCACCTAAAATATCTACAACTAAAATAATGTGCTTCTTTAAGGATAATAGAGTAGCAATAGTATATATATTACTAAATCTATCTGGCTCTTAAATGGCCTAACAAAAAAGCCTTTTCAGTTACTAATATTTTTCAAATAGGCTGAACCATTGATAATATTCTGTTTTCGTCACTTGCAGAACTAACTGGGGTAGGGAAGGAGGTTATTTTAACTACTAGAAAACAAATACATTACATGGTGAAGTATGTCATATTCAACATTGCTGGTATGAAATACAGCAGCAGCCAGGGTTTCTTGAAAATATAACAACTGAAGAAGAATACTGACAGACTATATTCTACTACTCTATACAAATTATATAGGCATTTGGTTAAAATTAGATTTCAACTCAAAATACTTACTTAGTCTGGCCTACTCTATGGCATCTATCTTCTGCTTGTTTGTCATTATAAGGGTTACAGTCAATATCATGAAGTATAACAACATTTGCTGAAGTCAGATTGATTCCTAGGCCACCAGCTTTTGTTGACAGCAGAAACACGAAGATATCCATATCAGTATTAAACTCATCAATTAGATGAATCCTATAAGATAAATATATTAGGCTAAATTTCACTAAAATGTACACAATTAAAATTGAAAACAATCACACTACATGGAAAAAAAACCTTGAAGATGTAAATACATGCTTCTGGCACTAAAGAACGTTTCCTGCAGTAATTTTACTAAAAGACCATCTCGATTCACCAACTTCTTTTTGGTACCATATTTCTTCCTACTAACTCTCACTTTAATTCAACTATTCAGGTTTGAGTAATGATACTGGATTATTTTCTCCTTTGTTGAAGGACTTCTGCTTATCTACATTTTGTGTACGGCTTTTCAATCTTTAGCCTTTGTCAGCTTTAGCCTTCTCAGAAGTCTGTCAGCAGCTGCTCATGATACGTATGGACTAAGGACCTCACTATCAAACTAGAGCAGTGTATTCTCTTTTAGCACAAATTCTATCTTTCATGTAGGGGGAAAAATTCTGGCTGATAAAAAAACAAACCAAAAGATTTAATGAAAAGCCTAAAGTTTTAAAACAAACAATCTTGATTTAATGTAAGGTGCTTCAATGCTCTAAACAAGTTTTAAAGGGGAAAAACACCGTAAGGTACACAATTCTCATTAGATACTGAAAGATATTTGTACACAATTCAGATCAAAATCTTAAAAAAGAAAAATTTCCTTATTTTAATGCAATGATTTCAAATAACCACACAAAAGACTCAGAACAAGACAATTCAATCAAATGCTCCATATATATTTAAAAATCCTATCATTTACTCTTATTTGAAGGTGAAGTGGAGAGAGATTTTCTGAAACTAAAGTGAAGTATACGAACCTTTCAGAAATCTGGGTCTTTCCATCTAATCTGAGGTACCTATGCTGATGATGTTTTAAGAGAACCTCTAAAATATCCAGCATCATGGTAAATTGGCTAAATAATACAACTCTATCACCCTGTGAAAATACATATATGGATTAGATACATGAAAAATAAAATGATATAAGTATATAATGATCAACTGCTTCTTTAATAAAAATCAAGTATTCACAGCCAAGGTAAATTTCTTGTTATAGATATAATAAGCTTATATGTAAATAAATTATCTTAACTTCTAAACTTCAGACTTAAAATATAATTCTTAGTTTTGATTTTTAAGGACAGTTAATGAAAACAGCTACAAAAGTACTATTTGGATTATGATCTTACAAATGTACATGATTTCACAAAGAAACTATAGTAGTAGTTAAATAACTTCAAAATATCTTCAATTACTAATTTTGGGGCAAACATATAATCAATTATGAAATAATGACAACTCTGATTATTTTTTAAAAGCAACAATACAGATGTATTCTACTAGATTCTAGTTTTTTTCTGAGGCTCAAAAGAGGAAAAGGAGTCAGGAAAACATATCCCCAAATATATCCCTTAAATGGTCAAAGCATTAGTTTCTAGAAAAATGTAGAACAGCCATAGGCTACAATTTCAAGAAAGTCAAATCATGCCAGAATTATTTTAAAGAAGTTTATGTAATTGGAAAAAATTAAGAGGAATAGCTTTCTCTTTATTACCTTCTGTTTCAATTCAGACAAGATGCATCCTAAAACTCGGAATTTTCCAGAATCTAAAATCAAGTCCATGTCTAACTGGAAGCTATTGATATGTCGATATTGTTTACAAAGTACATGTAATTCAAAGTCTGTCATAACTTCCATATCTTCAAAGATCAAGTCAGGATTAGCCTCACAATGTGTAGGTTCCTCAAAACAAAACAAAATACACACTTAAAAATGAAGACAATTTATAGTATGATCAGAACACTGAAAATTGTTCACATCTGATAAAACAGCTAAATATATATCAGTGCAACCAATTTAGCAAAGGAAAATAATACTCAGTTTTTAAGTACAATAAAAAGGGGAGAGTTCTTAATGCTTTAGAGATAACATGCTGAAATATTCAGAGATGAAATAATGTCTAGAATTTGGTTCAAAATACTCCTAAAGACGGGTCTAGATGAAATGAGTAGTGTCATTCCAGATAATAAATGTAAAAGAAAATGCGTGAAGTTTATATGGACATAAAATTTCATTATATGATTCTACTTTTACACACTTGAAATTTTCCATAATATATTTAAAATAATATAAAAACATTTAAAACAGAAAATAATTGCTTTTAACACCAAAATCTATAAAGGAGAACTATGCATGGGTGCTAAGGGAGAATGAGGCAAAAACAAAGATTAATTAAAACTATGGGCAAGGGGCACCTATGTGGCTCAGTTGGTTAAGCGACCTACTCTTAATTTTGGTTCAGGTCATGATCTAACGGTTCGTGGGTTCAAGCCCCACATTGGGCTCTGCGCTGACAGCAGAGCCAGACTTGGGATTCTCTCCTGCCCTCTCTCTCTGTTCCTACCCATCCACCATGTACTCTAAGTACATAAACATGAAAAAAATAAACTACAGACAAAATATAATAAAGAAAAAAATGAAGAAAACAAATGAAGACAATCAGAGGACATAAAACCTCAGGGATCTTTTTGGTAAAAAATAAAGAAAGAAGTGCATTATGGAAGTCTCAATAAGGAGTTGGCAAATTTCCTGTAAAGGGACAGACAGTAAGTAACTTAGGTAGGCTCTATAGGGAAAATGATTGTTTTGCCAACTACTCAACTTTGCACCTGTACAGGCACAATGCTGTTTCACTTTTTTTGTGTTTCACAGATAATGTATTTTTTTTTTTTTTTTTTACAAATCGAAGGTTTGTGGCAACCCTGTGTTGACCGTCTGCTGACACCATTTTTCTAAAAATTTTTGTTCACTTTGTCTCTCTAAGTTTTAAAATATTTCAAAATTTTTCATTACTATTATATTTGTTATGATGATCAGTGACTACGACTCGCTGAAAGCTCAGATGTCAATAGCATTGTTTTAGCAATAAAATATTTTTAAATTAAGGTATGCACACTTTTTTTAGGAGTTATGCTATAATGCATTTAACTGACTACAGTACAGTATAAATATAACTTGTATTATTTTTTAATTAAAAAATTTTTAATGTTTTTGTTTATTTTTTAGAGACAGAGAGACAGAGCATGAGTGGAGGAGAAAGAGGGAGACACAGAATCCAAAGCAGGCTCCAGGCTCTGAACTGTCAGCACAAAGCCCAACATGGGGCTCGAACTCACCAACTGCAAGATCATGATCTGAGCCAAAGTCGGTTACTTAACCAACTGAGCCACCCAGCTACCTCTAAACATAACTTTTATATTCATGAGGAAACAAAAAAATTCCTCTGACTTGCTTTATTGTGGTGGTCTGGAACCAAGCCTGCAATATCTCTAAGGAAGTAGTCACAGACAAAAAATAGAAACAGAAGACCTGTGTGTTAAAATAAAACTTTATTTACAAAAATAGCCCATTATAGCCATAGTTTGCCAATTTCTGATATATACTGTCAGTCCTCTTGGTTCTTACGTTCTTCACATTGTCTTTTTTTTTTTAATTTTTCTTAATGTTTATTTATTTCTGAGAGAAAAAGACAGAGTGTGAATGAGGGAAGGGTGAAGAGAGAGAGAGACGGAGAATCTGAAAAGACTTCAGTCTCTGAGCTGTCAGCACAGAGCCTAATATAGGGCTTGAACTCACGAGGTGTGAGGTATGACCCGAGCTGAAGTTGGACACTTAACCAACTGAGGCAGCCAGGCACCCCATCTTGAACTTTGTCTTAGAAATAAAAATGCAGGATGCCTGGATGGCTCAACTGGTTAAGCATCTGGCTTCAGCTCAGGTCATGATCTCATGGTTTAAGTCCTGCATCGGTTTCTCTGCTGTCAGCGCAGAGCCTGGTTCAAATCCTCTGTCCCTCCCTCTCTCTGTCCCTCCCCTGCTCTCTCTCTAAAATAAACATTAAAAAAAATTTAGGGTGCCTGGGTGGCTCAGTTGTTAAGCAGCTGGCTTCGGCTCAGGTCACAATTTCTGGTTCTTGAGCTCGAGCCCTGCATGGGGTGAGCCCCACTTCTCTCTCTCCCCCTCTCTCTCTGCCCCCACTCACTTGTGCCCTCTCTCAAAAAATAAAATACATAAAAATAAAAATGCTTTTCTTAAATATGGAGCCAATATGCTCATTAGGTTTAACATTATGTTTAATAGTGTAATAAAGTTTAGTGTTAACATATATGAAATCCTTACCTTTAGCATAAGCTGAGACATTTCCTTGAGCTTTTCAGCTGTGTAATATTGGCGATGTAATAAAGGATGATTGGCCATTTTTCTCAATTGCATCATTACATTGCACATCTCTGTGTTTTTTTCTGCGATCCAAAGAACACACATAAAAAAAACCCCAAAACCAAAAAGCCCACTTTAGATGCTGTCTCCCCATTCTGCCCCTCCCTCGCATGTGCGTGCTCTCATTCCATTTCTCAAAAATAAACAACAAAAAAACCCACAATCCCTAGCTGATAGCTGTTTGCTGAAATATAGCTCAATGCAAACAAAAGTTTAAAATTATTTCTTCAAATTCTAACTAATTTAAAAAATGGACAAATCCCATCATAACATGACTAAACAAAATGCAGTCCCAGTATGGATTATTTTTCACATGAAACTGTAAAAATCAAATTATACCCATATTATTGATAGATTTTTTTAATCTGTTGAAAAGACCCAAATAGAGCTGCTCCTGTTTTTCTGACATTGCACACAGTTCAATTCGATCTTTCTTGGGAGGTAGCTGCTTGAGAACCTGGGAAAGGAAAACAGTTTAAGCAGATCATTCATCAAATAAAGAAGAAAACAGATTTAAAAAAATCATAATAAAAAATATGCAAATAAGAGTTACCTCTTCTTTTACCCTTCTGAGAATAAATGGTTTTATAATTTGTTTTGCATGTGCTATTCTCTCTTTTTCATATATACTTTGCTCATCTGCTGATTTCTAAGTAAAAAAAGAACATATCCTTTTAGAAATTATTCATTTAAATGATCACATAACAATATTACAGTAACATGAAAATCATCCTCACAACCATCGGGAGTTATTTTCCAGAAACTCACTTCATTCTAAATGGAGTATCACATGTCAACTCTGGGCTATATAATCTACTTCTTCAAGCTACATATGTATTTTGAAGTTTCCTGTATTCTGCTAATGAAATTGAACTGTTCTAGGATGCTGTTCAAGTCATTAAGTCATAACTAATGAGTCATAACAAATTACCAGATAGCTCTCATGAGAGAGAGAGAGAGAGAGAGAGAGAGAGAAAGTGTGTGTGTGTGTGTGTGTGTGTGTGTGTATGTGTGTGTGTGTGTAACAGGGTGGGAAGAAGAGAAGAGGAAGAGAAAGAGAGATAGGTACGAAATTTATGTTTGTAGAAAATGACACCAAAAGAAACGTAGTGCCAAGGATGTAAACTATACAGTCTAAAAGAAAAGGATGATTCCTAGTCAAAGCCTGTTAATTTTGGAGATTTAAAGAAGTGGAATTTTACTCTAAGAAGTGAAGGAAGTCCTCTATATTCTATAATCTGCTCGGCCATCAAGTGGGAGTGAATCCATTAGTGAAAGTTTAAAAGGCAGTTAATTTGCAGTGGAAGACCATCACAGGAAATTCTTGGAAAATACGTGAGAGTTGGGAGACAGCTGAGAATGTATATAAACATTGCTGTACTAGAAAATTTAGGCGTCCCTGAAGATTATACTGTACTTTTAAGTTTATTTATTTATTTTGAGAGAGAGAGAGAGAGAGAGCACAAGTGAGAAGGGGAGGGGCAGAGAGAGTATATCCCAAGTAAGCTCCATACTGTCAGCACAAAGCCTGATGCAGGTCTTGAACCCACAAACCATGAGATCGTGACCTGAGCCGAAATGAAGAGTCAGACACCCAACCAACTGATCCACCCAAGCAAAGCCTGTACTTTTTCTAAGCAAGAGAGAAAATTAACCAGATTTTCTGCTATATAAAATTTAACTGTGGGGTGCTTGGGTGGCTCAGTTGGTTAAGTATCTGACTTCAGCTCAGGTCATGATCTCACAGGCCATAGGTTCGAGCCCTGTGTCAGGCTCTGTGCTGACAGCTCAGAGCCTGGAGCCTGATTCAGATTCTGTGTCTCCCTCTCTCTCTGCCTCTCCCCTGCTCACACTCTTTCTCAAAAATAAACATAAACAAAGTTTAAAAAAAGAACTTAACTTTTAGACATTGTTATTGAAATTTTATTTCAAAATACAGTTTCCAGTATAGGAATTTTCTGGACATTCTACCTCTGTCCAGTTCTACAGTTTACCTATATAAAGAAATGGTACTAATTTACCCAACTTTAATAAGGCAAATGCAATGACCAAGTTTTCCACAAATATCATGTATCTCAGCTCTCCACTAATCTAAAATTGTCATTTCAGAAAATCAGTATATTAAAACCAAACTTTTAGACATTATAGAAGTTACCAACTTATTTCCCATTGTATTCTGGCTGACTTCCCAATTCACCAAAATACAGGGATATCAACTACTTAAACTTATTTGATAGCACTTTACAATATGAAAACAAGAAAAAAAGATAAAAATAGAAAAATAGCCCACATAAAACACAAAATACCGATTTGGGAGAAAATAATAAAGTTATGCTTACTGTCTTAGAAGAAAACATTCTTCGTATTTCACTGGTGCTACTACTGAACATGTGTGGCATAACGAAATTTAATAGTGACATGAGTTCTAACAGATTATTCTGTACAGGTGTGCCTGTGAGCAGCAAACGGTTATTTGCCTGTGAATGAACAAAAGTACAATTTAGATTAGTTTCTTTTAAGAGCCAAATTCTTCTTGTCTACATTCCTCAGAGGGGGAAGAAGTTAAGACCATTATTAATAATGTAACATTCTCTGATGAAAGATTAGTAATTAAGAAAAATTATCATCTAATCTATTTTAAGGTAGAATGTATAAAAATAATGGTCTCATTTTGTATATAGGTAACTTATGTCCTCAAATCACTTTTATGAGGTAATGAAAGTAGATTATATTCGATTTTCATAAAGTTCATCACATAGAACAGGGGTTTGCAAATTGAGGCTCATGAGCTAAAAAAATGATTTTTATATTTTTAAAGGGTTGGTTAAAAATGAAAAAACAAAACAAAAACAAAGAAGAAGTGGCAGAAGCTTAATGACCCACAAGGCATGAAATATTTATTACCTGGATCTTTACAGAACAAGTTTGCTGACCCCTGTTATCAAATACTAAACACATTAAAACACATAACCAGAGCTTCATTTTAATTGGGATAAATTCACAAAGTCTTCTCTTACATTAATTGTCATGAGGTGCTGGTAGCGGATAGAGCCCATATTCTTCAGCATATGGCCCTCATCAAAAATTGCGTAATTAAGTTTCAGCCTTCGAAACAGACTACGATCATCAGAACTGCTGATTGCACAATTATACCTGTCACCAAAAAAAAAAAAAAAAAATTGTCAAAGGTTATACTTTTAAGAGCCTGGACCACAGTGAGATTTAATGTTTTATAAAATTATCTTTATTTATACAATTTTAATAACCAGTACTTAAAAGATACTACTAGACATAGTTGGTGTTCAAATAAATACTGATGCACTTGTATCCAATAATTATTTACATATATGTAACCAAGTTATAAAACATGCAATATGTAGGTAAAAGAAAATTTAAATATTACAATTAGTCAACATCTACACACCTAGGAAGAAGGCAATTTGGGTATAACTTATATGTGGAAAAAAAGACACGAAATTAAACATTTATTAAGTACATAATACTATTAAAGGAGTAGAGTACATCCAAGAAAAAAGTTAATAGCAGCTAGCGGTACTAGACTACATACAAAAATAAAGTCCATTTTATTTAGAAAAGATGAACTTTGGATGAATGCTTTTAATCATGCCTCCTACAGAAGTCAGTAGGGGAAATAATAAATACTAAGAGTTAACATGCAGATTAAAATAACCTTTATTTAAAAATGCAACATGGGGCGCCTGGGTGGCTTAGTCGGTTAAGCGTCCGACTTTCGCTTAGGTCATGATCTCGCGCTTCGTGGGTTCGAGCCTTGCATCGGGCTCTGTGCTGACTGCCAGCTCAGAGCCTGGAGCCTGTTTCAGTCTGTGACTCCCTCTCTCTCTGACCCTCCCCTGCTCACGCTGTCTCTCTCTCTCTCCTAGAAATAAATAAAACATTTAAAAAAAAAGAAATAAATAAAAATATAAAAATAAAAATGCAACATGAAGAGCATTAAATTCTCTGCTAAATATTTTTTATTGTTTATTTTTGAGAGAGAGAGACAGAGCATGAGTAGGGGAGGGGCAGAGAGACAGAGACAAAGGATCCAGGCTCTGAGCTATAAGGACAGAGCCCAATGCTCTCGAGCCTGAGCTGTTGAGATCATGACCTGAGCAGAAGTCTAATGAGCCACTCAGCTGCCCCTCTGCTAAATATTTATGCTAAACAGCTACTAGACCAAGTAATGATTAATTTGGTGGAAAGTTATGTCTCCCATCCTTACTTCTATTTTAAATCAATTCCTTCATTTAGAGAGTGAAATTTCACTGTATTTATTAATACTAAATTATTAATGATGAATAACTGACATAAGTCAGAAATATTAAAAATCATTTCAGTGGGATATCTTAAATTTTACTTTAAATTTAACGGAGTCTTGTAAATCTACGCTTTCAATCAAGTGGACAAAGTCTTTTTATAACCATTAATAGTCATCTGTTGTACTATTAAAAAATCGAAAAATGCCCAAATTTTCAACATAAATCATTCCATTACTTTTGTTGGATAGTTCTTAGCATAAATTTTCCTTCATGCTACTACTAAGATATTTTAAATATATTTTTAAAAATTTGAGGGTCACACAAATTTTTCCTGCTCAAATATGCTTTGTCCCCATACTTACGTGGTCACAATTACATTATATTCTTCATATTTACTATGGATGTTATATCTAATCTGTTTACGTTCTTCTTGAGAGCCTACGATTTAAAAACACCACACACATATTGATTATATTTACTGTACTTTAGTGTATGTTAGGATTTTAAAGAAGTTTCCAATTAAAGCAAAATGACATTCTTACCATAATAACAGAGCACCTTTAAAGTGGGGCACCATAAATTAACTTCTCTTAACCAATTATCTATGAAGCAAAAGAGATATTACTTGCAACTATTACAACAGGTTATGTGTATGCAGTGAAATGAGTTCTATCTATAAATTCTTTTGCAAAATAATGAGATTAAAAAAAAAAATCACAGACCCTTCACAATTTTATTCCTGATGATTAAAATAACGTTGAAAAGGCATAAAATGAAAGGCAAATGACCAACCATTTTATTTATAGGTCATTATTAATTTCCATTTTAAAGAGTTGTTTTGGATTATGTTCATGCGTATATTCTCTTACTCTAGTCAACATCCAATTAGTTAAGAAAAAAGAGTAACTTCAGTGTGGATGAACTATATACTTTCTGATTCTATAAATTTAACTATAAACATAAAGGCAATTATTTCTCTTAAGTTACTCATCAAAACAATTTTTTTTTCATTAAAACAACTTTCTAAAAGTATTATAAAAACAAAAGATCTTATTGATGGTCCCTGATCCATAATACTTCAAAAGCTGAGTAAGTGACTTGTATTGGAGTTATTTTACTTTAAAAGATGTCCAATACAACGAAACACATACATACATATACACAAAGGGGGGAAAAAGTGTAAGGTGACCACAGAATTAATATTCACCTCCACAAACTAAGAAATCACAGAGATTTTCCTCTCCCTATACACAACACTATACCGTCAAGTGAGGTTGTCCACAGTATTACAAACCTATAGTTGATGCTGGAACAACGATCAAATGAGGACCTTTATTACCCTCCTGATAGAGGTATGCCAGGAATGCAATGGCTTGAATAGTTTTTCCTAGGCCCTAAAATTAAATGTTTAAAAGACAAATATATGAAATTTTAAAATAAAAAAATAAAGGAAAACACAAAGGAAAAAGAATACTTCTGGTTTTATTTATATTTGACTCCCCATAATAACTCTATGAAAATTCTATGTTCTTAGTTCTCAATGACAGATAAAACAGATCATAATATCTAACTCGGTTTACTGAGCGGGAGATATCAGTTTAATGCTTCATTACATATGAAACACACTAATATGGAAGAGCTTTGCAATGCACATAAAGGATATAATTTTGGTAACTATTCATATGAAACAAATATTTAATACATACTGAACAGATTAAGAACAATGTCCCAATCACTAATCAGATCATGTGCCTATCCAACTACCCACAAATTTCACTTCTAAGAGTATATTCAAGAGATATGAGAACATAGATACACAAAGAACTTGGGTAAGAATGTTGACAGTAGCCAAACACAGGAAATGACTTAAATGACCTTCAACAGGAAAATGAATACACAAGTTGCAACATATTTATACTATGGACTACTACATACGAATCAGAAACCAAACTACTGATAACATACATGGATGAATCTCTATAACTTTATCATGCACCAAATGAACCAGAAATAAAAGGTATATACTCTATGGCACTATTTATATAAAGTTCAAAATTAAAAAAAAAAATCTATGGTTATAGGCATCAGAATAGTGGGTGGTAATGACTGAAAAGAGGCATGAGGGAATGTTCCTGGGAGGATGGAAATGTTGACCTGGGAAGTAGTCACATGGGTGCACATATATGTAAAAAGTCACTAAGCTGAACACTTGTGTATTTTTTGCAAGTAAATTAAATATAAGTGAAGTAGGGTTTATTTTTAGGCTATTGAGGAGGTTTAGCTAAACATTACCAGCTGTGATAAACTGAACGGCCTTTATTCATGTGTTGAAGCCCTACTACCCAATATGACTATACTTGGAGATAGGCTCTTTAAGGAGGTAATTAAGGTTAAATGAGATCACAAGGATGGGGACCCAATTCCCACTGTCTGAGAAGAAGACACCAGAGATGTGTGAGCACACAGAAAAAGACATGTGAGGACATAGCAAGAAGGTAGCCAACTGCAAACTAAGGCTAGAGGCCACAGGAGAAACCAAATCTGCCAACATCTTGATCTTAGACTTCTAGTCTCCATAGCTGTGAGAAATAAATTTCTGTTGTTTAAGCCACCCAGTCTTTGGTCTTTTATTATGGGAGCGCTAGCAGGACAGGCAAGACACTAATTTATAAATATTGTGTTTTACAGGTTACAAGAACAGTTTCACATATTATATACATCATTTGATGCCAAATATAATCTTATGATACAGAAATTACCTGTTTTATTAATATTGGCTGAGAAGGTGATCTGGTAAAGATTAGCCCATGAAAAGCAAAGGTTTGGGGCTCCGAACCCAGATTTGATTCTCAAGTCCAACTTTCCACACCTGTAATGCTCTATATTCTGTATCTAATTCTATAACCATTTGAAACCCTGCATATATACTGTTTTCTATCAGATAAAGAGCATCTCTGTTACAATGATAATACAATGTATATGTGAGAATAGTCTTAAAGTACAAAAGATTAGTAGAAGCTAACTACAGAATAAGGATCACTATGTTTGTTTTGAAAATGTAATACACAATGTAATACATATGTATTTAATAAGCATTTTCTCCACTGAACTTTTTAACAGGACATTAAGATTAGATTAAAGGTCAAGTTTCTATTTGACAATAAGTAAACTACTGGGTGTAATGAACTTCCTAAGCTTAGCGTCAAGCAAATGTGACTTGGGAAAATAAAACAAACTCAGAAACAACAAAAAAATGGCTGAATTGATGTTGCTGATAAATGTGTGGGTTTACAGGTCTCTATAAATTTTCAAGGTAGCCATAGAAAAAAACATAAAACAAGTCTTAGTATTATATATATATGTGTGTGTGTAAATACAAACACACACCTGCAAAAGAAACTAATCCCAAAAGATATACACCAAAACAGTACTTATTTCAAGGTGAGAAGAGTATGAGGGATCTTGATTTTTTTTTTTTTGTATTTTTACATAATGTCTAATTTTTAAAACATATATTAATTTGATAACCAGAAAGAAAGTAAAAAGCCCATTTTCATTTTGGGGGACGAGGTGGGGAGCTAAGAGAAGCAACAGAAAATAGAAGGGGTTACTGGAGTAATAAAATACTGGTGAGAGCAGTAAGCTCTCAAGGGAAATTTTTATTTTTTAAATGAGAGCAAATGTGCCTTTTAATGATGAATCCCAGAAAGAGAATACTACTTACCATTTCATCTGCCAAAATGCCATTAAGTCCATGTTTATGTACCAATGCCAGCCAATTCAAACCAACCTTCTGATAGGGCTTGAGTGACAAACTGGTAAAGAGAGTTACCATAAATTACAGATTTATACTTCTATACTTTTATACTCTACTAGTTTTCTGACATGAGGTTTAAGTTTACAATGCACACAAAAAGTGAAATACCTAGGTCAAATCTTACCTTTTAATTTAGAAGCTATTTACACTTAGTTAAGAAAAAGAGCCCAAAACACAATGCATTTTTTTGTTTTCTCAAATTTTATTTTGTATTGACTTATTTTTTTCTGGCTCTAAGAATTACAAAAAAATTTTTTCCATATTCAGTCATAATATAATGCCACCAATTCAATTCCATAAATGATCAGAATATTACCTATAACATATTACTAACCTAATCTTTATACTAGAAAATGGTGTTGTACAGATCTGAATTTTACCACATTAAGGAACTTCAAATATTAGGACAATACAAGCTTAATTTGCCTCTTTGACAGGTTGACTGAATAAACACTTTCTGAATCAATGTCAGTCACCTCTAATGTCAGTGGTATGTGTATCTGGAAGGTGCATATATGTGTTTGTGTTTGACTATATGAATGTAGATTTGTGAGACATCAAAGACCATCAAAAAGTAGAAAGCAGCAGGCAAGGGTCAAAAATCTCATTTAATTTGGAAACATATAATTTGGAAATAACTTGTTTGGAAGATAATATGGGATGGTTATGATCAATGCAAACAATTATTTTTTTCCTAAAAGTTCAAGTGGTTAAAATAGCAATTATTACTAAACACCTATTACATATAGATTACAAAAATAGCATTGTCAAGCACCACCTCATTTAATCTTTTAATATCCATGAAGATTGCCTTTTAACATTATTTTAAACAGATGAAAAACCTGACATTAGTAATTTGCCTGAGGCTGCATAGCTACTAAGTGTTATGGATGGCTACGATTTTAACTAAGGAAGTCCATCTCACTCAGAAGTTAATTCTTGGGGCACCTGGGTGGCTCAGTCGGTTAAGCGGCAAGCTTCAGCTCAGGTCATGGTCTCACAGTTGGTGGATTCAAGCCCCGTGTCAGGCTCTGTGCTGACAGCTCAGAGCCTGGAACCTGCTTTGGATTCTGTGTCTCTCTCTCTCTCTCTCTCTGCCCCTCCCCCCCTTATGCTTTGTTTCTCTAGCTCTCAAAAATAAATAAACAAAAAAAATTTTTTAAGTTTATTGTTATATTCACTAGGTCAGCACATAACACATATTAACATGAAAAGCTAGGACAAAGCCATATGTCTCATTCTCTAGCTTTTATCCTCTCCCCTTAATTTCCTATTATACCCATCCTATCTGTACATAGGTAAGTGGTCTGGACACAGCTATGATATAATAAAATGGTGAAAGGACCAAATTCTAAAATCAAAATACTTTAATTAGAATGGGGTAAAAGAGGTGAGGCAGAAAGATATCCATCTTAAATTAGAAATACATTTGGGGGCGCCTGGGCGGGCCACTTGGTTAAGCATCCGACTTCAGCTCAGGTCATGATCTACACTTCAGGAGTCTGAGTCCTGCGTCAGGCTCTGTGCTGACAGCTTTGGATTCTGTGTCTCCTCTCTCTGTCCCTCCTCTACTCACACTCTCTCCCCTTCTTCTCAAAAATGAATAAAACATTAAAAGAAAAAAATTCAAAAATAAAATAAAAATAAAAATAATTAAAAGTATTGGTGGGGTAAAAATCAGCAGTATTGCTGAAGTCTTTACAGTTCATTTTTTAAAATGTCTTTGCTTTCCCGAACAATGTAATTTCTACTGCCACTACAAAAGTAATGACAAATAAAACATATTATCATAGATGTATTAATTTCCATATCCAAATGAATTTTCTACAATCATGGTGAAAGTAAATGCTCATACTGGAATGTTTACTCTATTTGAGACACAATGCCATGGGCATGACATACATTATTACTTCATTTAATCTAACCACAAAGCATATAAGATTACAATCCCCATTTTTAGAGATGGCCCAATCTCTGGGGCTCGGAGGAGGGAAGTAATTTGCCCAGGGTAACACTATCCAAATGCATGTCTGCAGTGGCATAGACCGTATCCGCTCCAGGTCTGATCCAAGCTCAGCCCTAAAGAGCAAAACATGAAAAAGTTCTCTCCTTCTGACCCACCCATCTATGGCCAAAACTGAGTTCTTTATTATTTTTGAGCTCTTCTCAATGTCTTAAATCATCCCACACATATAAGGTTCGTATTTTATGAAAATGAAGAAACTTGGTAAGGTGGGCATAGCACATCATTTATAAATGCATCAAAGGGCCAAGCATGCTCTCCCAACATCTATCACAAACAGCCAAGAAATACTGAGAAACTAGTATAACTGTTAAAATATTCTTCACTATACATAAAACTTTAAAGAGTGTTGAAGGAATTTTGAGAAGCATAGTTTTTCAATCAAATAAAAATGGCTTTACCCATAATCACAAAGCGGCTCTGATGGCTGTTTTTGATCAAGACACTAAATAGCTTTGTTATATTGAAATATTTGTTTTAAAAATACAAGTGTTTGTGTGTGCACTTGTGTATACACACATATATATTTTGTGTGTACATGCTCCTCTGCTGGATTTACCTAAGCTTCTAGTAACTTTTTGTTGCTTAGTATCCCAACAGTGCTGCCCATTACAGAGCCTTTCTTCACAAGACAAAAGAACAAAGAAAATGAAATTTTGGAAAAGATGTTTTAAATCCAATTCACTTGTTATGACAAAATTGTTAAATAGGGCAGCTGTATTCTTTCTCTAACAGGGTCTAATATTTAGATGCTGTACAATCATACCTTCCATTCATTCTGACATTCTATAGTTTTCTAAGAATTCTCATGACTGCATATGAACCCTCCCCCCACCAGTTTACAGATAAAAACGTAATCTGTCCGGGATTCCCCAAATGGTAAGAACTATAGCCCAAGCCTTCTGAATTAGTTTAAGTGCTCTCTTCTCATCAGCAGACCATAAGTATCTTTAAACTCAACGTTTCTCTACCTCTCTCTAAGGAAATAAGTGATTTTAATATTTTCTGAGACCACGAAAGAAAATGAGGCAGCACATTATTTTGAAGTTACTTGTTTTGCTAAAAGAAAAGAAAACCATCCTTCCAGAGTCATGATTTCTTTTCAGAGTGAAAATTAAATTGGGTTTAAATCTGTGAGAGAAACTGGTATCAACATTTTGAAAGGTGAGATAAGCCTGAAATGGAAATAAAATGCTAAATTTGAGTTTAAAATGCAGAAATAGTCTAGGGAGACTTGTGGCAAGCAGTTTATATGAAACAAGATTAGGGATACTAGATGACCAAAAGCTCTATATTCCCTAAGTGTGACAACATTAGTTTGTACTAACAACAGTATCCAAACAGCTAAAATATTTACATCATAGTACTTGGAGTTACTCAAGGCATCTGCAGTACTGATCTGCATTCACATCACTGTCAAATGGCTTCACAGCAACTGTTTAGAACATGACAGGGAACCATCCCATCAAGTTGAGGACAAACAAAATCAGAATAACCTGGGTAGATTTAACCCAAAAAAGACAGGACACGTATAATTAAACATTTTATATTGAACATCTGAGAAATCTTTTCAAATAAAACAATTTAAAGCTAATATATTTTAGATCAACTGCTAAAGTTTGAGAGATGACTACATTAATGATATGAATAAAAAGGGAGAAATATTGAGGTTTTTTTTTTCTTTTCCCTCACTGTATTATTATATTTTAACTTTAGATATCATCAGTTTTGACATTTTAAAATAAAAATTATGAATGTAATGGTTTTGAGAGTTGAGATACATGCAAGAAATTTTATTTTCCTCTGCAAAAACTTCATTTTTAATAAGGATTTTGGTAGGTCTGTATGTTCTTATCTCTAAAGGCAACTTTTTTTGTTATAATTCATATGCAGGGCAGCTCAGTCATCAGGATGGTTTAACATTTTCTTCCAATGCTGCTAAATCCTTTCCCAAGGCAAGAAAACTACTTTAAATGTCTCTATGCTAAGCAGCGATGATGCCTGGCCAATATACCAACTAAAACTGCTTGTGCAACTCTTACCTTGGCTAAAAATAAAAACCAAGACAACAAATTTCACCCCCTAAAAGTGCATTTACATGAACTCTCAAGAAACTATCTACACAGGTATTTAGAAGTTCTATTTCAGGCTAGAGCCAATGAGCACTTTTTAAAAAAGAGCAATTTTTCTCATTTATTAACTACTTCATCAGAAAATTCCTCAGCATAATGGAAAGGACAGTGTATTACCTGATCATACTATTTACAAGTAACAGAACTTTGTGGATGTGGGTTTAAGAGAGAAATTTTTCAAGTGATGCAATAAAGCACTTGATTTTTTAAAATCCAAATTATGATAAAGTAGACTCAACTGGGTAAGTCTTGTAGAGTGAAGAACTCCCCATATCCAATGCTGTAGAACAAGAAGGAGCAGCTCCAACTACACTTTTAGGAGATGAATTTGCTGACATGGCCATAGTTCTTTCTATGCAACAGAGAAAAGAGCTTCTTTGTGGGAACTGCATCACGTTTCCCTACACCATCCCATAGCACCCTAGAAGGGCACAGAAAAGATTGTAGCTTACTATTAAAGGCTGGTAACCATATCTTGACTTTTAATTAACCAATGATCAGCAAATATGCTTTGATCATTGACTAGAAAAAGACTAGAAGTAAATAAAATCACCAACTAAGGTAATTAATTTTAATACCTAATGCTAATCTTATTAATTACCTATCAGAATACCTTATCAAATACCTAATCTTATCAAATACCTTATTAAATACCTATTACTCTGATAAGTAAACAATTTTATACATTTCTTTAAAAGGAAGTATTCTGAATAGTTCTGAGTCCCCAAACCACTTAAAAATAAAGTTTTAAAGGACAATGTCAAAATTGGACATTCCAATAACCCAGCACCATGCAAACTGAGGGTGTTCACAATTATAGAATACCATTTTAATATGTACTGGTTGTACAAATTTTTTACTGAAAATAATTTAGTGTCTGTTTTTTTGTAAGAATTCTGACAAGGTATTTTACTAATACTAGCAGTTTTGGGAAATATAGTTTGTATAATCTTTGCTTATATAATCTATTTAATAAGTGTCCTTTTCATTATTGTTATGTTTCTACTCCAGAAAGAGATTTAAAACTGAGCTTTTGAAAGCATTTAAAACATTAAATCAGATACATTATATTTTAATAATTTCATTTTATTTATGATTAAAAAGAAATTGAGCTAAAACAAAGTTTTTCACTGATACAATTAAGCGGCTAATTTTCTGAAGTACCAAACTGTGTAAAGGGGTAGTAGCTAAAACCACCTTTTCAGTTTTTGTGATTATATATAAAATTATCTGTCATCAGACAAGGAAAACATAGGTTATATAAGACCATAACATTTCATCCCTCTAATTTATAAAGATATAATGGAGTAAAATACCCTTGCAGGGTGGGGGGAGGGGGTATTGATAAAAAACAATTCTATCACTTAAGTGTCAGTGAAGGAAACTTTGGGCTTCTCTTCTTCTAACATTAGTTTTCCTAAAACTTCCACATGTAAGTTCCCTGGGCCCAATACAGAAATAAATTCTGAATTTTTATACAGCTGAGATAAAATAAGAAATAGGTATGTATAACAAATATTACCTCTGGTTTAGAATGGAGGGTTGTTCTATGTTCCATCCACCTCCATTTCCAGTGAGCATGGTAACTTGTTTTGTCAACTTATTTGAAATGTCTTCACATTTGTTCATAAGCCTTATAACTACATCTCTTTCTTGGATCAGTGTTTTACAATGCCATATCAGATCCTCTGATAAGCCATTAGTTTTGGACATCTTTGTGAACTATGGCATAAAAAGAAAAATAATTTAACAGGTCAGATCTAGTAAATAAAAATCCAGTATCATTCTCTTTAAAGGAAAGAAAATTGGTTAATTTCAATGTTTACTAATGACCATAATCAAGTGCTAAGAAAAGCGGTTTCTTTCTTCGTGTCTACATTTGAATTCCCATGTTTATCTCTGATAAATCCTACTGTCACCTCAAACTTACGATGCTGAAATAAAACATATCTTTCTCCCCAAAATGCATAATCTCAAGCTGATTATTACTTTGAACCTAGTGGCTGTTCTCTTACAGGAGAATTGCTAATGTCTCCTATGAAGTTTTGTTTTCAAAATCTGAGATTTGCTTTCATTACCAAAGGTAACAGTACTAAATTTAATACCTGCATACTCATATCTTGCCTCCATTTTCATCACTTTCCCTGCCTATAACATATTACCATATGATTAATCTTTCTAAAACATACTTTTCCCTACCTACCATCAACAAAGTACCACCCTTTGAGCTTTCAAAACTCCAACTATTATTTGTCACTTAGTTTGTTCCTAACTTGAGACTATTACTTTGAAAAGTATCGCATGAATCAAAATTTAACTATGACCAACTCAATAATTTGATAAATTTTTTTGAAAAGTCAGTTTCAATAAAACACTTGTATAAATGGTTTTCTATGAAAGCTCAAAGAATTTCTTTCAAAAATATATTTGTATTTTTTTCTAATGAAGACACTGAATAGTACTTCATCATGTAAAAGCTATAAAAATTAGAATTTTTCCACATATATAGTTGAAAAAATATCCTGAAGAATATTATAAAAAATATTTTTAGTGAAGAGTAACAGAAAACCCACAGCTATCTACAAAGCTAACAACCTGGCTAGACAAAAAGAAATATCTCACAAGCCAGAAATGAATAAAGGAAACTAGAGTAATACCACCTGTTAAAACTACACATAATTCTGATTCATGTCATCTTATTTACTCAGCATGTTTCAATTTACAAAAAGAATCACATTAACAACTCTAATTAATCCCTGTGATCAAAGTATATCTAAGTTCACAGAGAAGCTCAAATAATAGAAATTCAATACTTACAGGATATACTAAGATAACTTAATCAAAACACATAATAATATGCATTTTTCATATCTAACCTAGAAAAAGTTGGAAAGAAAATTTCCAATCTATTCCAAAGCCATGTTATTATTATATTGCAGGATTGAAAAACAAAACAAAAATGTAGTGCTTCACAAAATGGCACTGTGAAATATAGTTATTCGCACATGACATTTTCACATGGACAATATTAATAATCACAACACAATCTCCTACTTTGTGCTTTCAAGGAAAAGGATTTACACATCAACAGCAGGGTATATAATAAGTGGCTTGAAGATTCTAAGAAGGTTCTATTAGAACTTCTAATTAAGGGGAGTCTAGGTGGCACAGGGGTTAAGCATCCAATTTCGGTTCACGTTATGATCTCACAGTTCTTGAGTTTGAGCCCCACGTCAGTCTCTGTACTGACAGCTCAGCTCGGAGCCTGGAGCCTGCTTTGAATTCTGTGTCTCCCTCTCTTTCTCTCTGCCTCTCCCCCACTCACATTCTGTCTCTCTCTCTCTCAAAAATAAATAAAGCATTAAAAAAATTCTTTTAAAAGAAACTTCTAATAAAACATATTTTATTGGGGCACCGGGGTGTCTCAGTAAGTACAGCAACAGACTCTTGGTTTGGATCTGGTCAGGCTCTCATGGTGGTGGGATGGAGACCCAGCAGGGAGCCTGCTGAAGATTCTCCCTTAGCCCCTAGTGCTTATGCAGGTGTGCGCCCTCTCTCAACAAAACAATAAATAGAATACATTTTCAAAAGAATATTTGGAGAGAGATAAAGCACACACATGCAAGGTGGGGGGGAGAGGGAGGGATGGAGGGAGGGAGAGAGGGGGGGAGAGAGGGAGAGAGAGAGGGAATGAATCCCAAGCTGGCTCTAAGCTCAGTGTGGAGCCTGATGCAGGCCGATCCCACCACTGTGAGATCATGACCTTGGCCAAACCAAGAGTCTGCTGCTCAACCAAACTGAGTCACCAAGGTGCCTCAATTAAATACATTTTTAAAGGAACCCCAAAACTAGAGGCCAAAAACCAATCTCATACTTTTTGTGGGTGTGTGCGAGTGTGTATGTTTATGGTGTGTATGTGTGTGAGAAAACAATAACAACCAGGATATAAAGAACATATATTGTGTGCTTTGTATGGGCTAGAAACTACTAGATGTCTTTTATTCACTAACTCATTAAATCACCATAATAACTAAAGATCAATCTACCAATTCTGGTACCATTTCCAAGTTCTCACAGTATGGTAAGATTCCAAAGTCCATACTGTTTTCTTTTCACTATAATTAGTACTTCCCTAAGTTAAAAAAAAAAAAAAGAAAGAAAGAAAAAGAAAAAGAAAAAAAGTTAAGACCTTTTAAAAGTTTGAAAAAAACAACCTTTTTTCTGTAAACAACTACATTTACTATTTTCTAATTTTTAAGCAAATACTAGCTTGGCTGGTGAAGGTATCTGGTATGTAGACACAGTCCCTATCTTCATGTAGTTTACAGTCATTGGGAAAGACAGGAAACAAATAATTGTAAGTGTAACAACTGTTATTACAAGGGAAAGTACAAAACTTCATGGGTACTTTTCCTAAGGAGACTAATATAATCTAAAGGACCCCGAAAATTCTTTCAGAGTAACAAGGCCAGAAATAAGAAGGAATTATTCTAATCCAAAGAAGATCAATTCAATTATGTCAGAATCTACAGAAGAATTAAACTAACATTTCAAAAAAGAAACGACCAGATATAAACTATATCTGGTTAAAGTATACCAGGGAGATATAAGCAGAAAAATCCAGACTGGGAAACTACAGAATAAATGATCCAATTCATACACCAAAGATATTAGAGGAAAAGAAAAAGACAGATGGGTGGGGAACCTACAGATTAGCAGAGTTAAAAGACTGATATCTATGGGGCACCTGGGTGGCTCAGCGGGTTGAGCATCCAATTTCACTTCAGGTCATGATCTTGTGTTTCGTGAGTTCAAGCCCCACACTGCGCTCACTGCAGCTTATCAGCTGTCAATGGAGACCCTGCTTTGGATCCTCAGTCCCCTCTCCCTGACCCTCCCTTGCTTGTGTTCTCCCCAAAATAAATAAATATTTAAAAAAAAAAAAAAAAAAAAAAGACTGATATCAAACAACCTCAGAACGTAGTGCTTATATACTGGATTCTAATTACTTCAAATTCTACTAATTCTAATTAATTCAAAATCACTTAAAAAAAAACAAACATACCAATTATGAGAAACAAAATTTGAACACTGAATGCAGATATTTTTCCTTTTCTTGGAGATTTACTAACTTAATGTTAGGAATTATTGATGATTTTTATTAGATGTGACAGTGTAGTTTAGTTTTGTTTAGGGAAAAGACCTCTTTTGAGATAAATTTAAATTTTTATGGACAAAATGAATTCTGAGATTTGCTTCAAAATAATATTAGATGGAAGGAAGTGGATGAGGATACAGATGAAACAGGATCAGATACCAGCCAGGCACCAAAGCTACTGTGAGGACATGGGGTTTCGCTACCTTATTCTAATTTTTTATGTTTGAAATTCTTGTAGAGGAAATCAAGGAGAGTGCAAAAGGTAACACTTCAATCAAGCTGCATCAGTTTGAGTTGGTTACTAAGATTTTTAAGTGAACTTGACATTTTGGTTATTTTTGAAGTCAAGATTTAATAATTTATCTCCCTGGGACTTCCTACTGTCCCTACCTCTCCTCCCATTTAAGCCAAACAACACTGGAGATGGTCCAAATTATTGCCAGTTGAGAACTTAAATCTATCCAGTAATGTACGGTATCCATGAATGTAAAACATCAGACTTTCAAGGAAAAAGTTTCACTGAAAGATGAAGTTATCAGGATTTGGTTTGGTTATGAGTAACAATAAACTTGAGTTTATTTCTCTCCCTGTAAATGAAGACCTATGGAAACACTTCATATCCGATATGATCGCACCCAAATCAAAGATTTTTTTTTTTTACTTTATTGTTTCATATCCTCAATACGTGGGATTCCTACCATCATAGAACAGAAAACAACAGTTTCTTAGCATTTCGCTAGTTATATATATAACACTTCCAAAGCAAAATATAGTAGATATCTATAGCTAACATTTCTAAGAACCAGAATTCAGTTGAATGGGCATTTAACCCTTAGATTTCCCATAGGACAGTACCATAATTATACCCCACTTACACACGAAGAAATGTAGAATAAGAACTTGCTAAAGGTCAGATTAATTGCTAGAAATATCACAATTAGAATTTAAAGCCAGGTGATCTAGCACCACTATATTATTCACCCATCTCTTACCTCCTAGTATCTACTCACAAAACCAAGCGAATAAAAAGGCATGCATGAAATTCAGAAAGAAGAAATCCAACACACGAGAAACAGCAAGGATTCCTCTGGATGTCTAGGAAATGAGATCCCAAGGTCACAGCTGAATAGAGGGCCTATAATCCAACCAGTCTAAACCAGAGCATGTCTTAAGATTCCAGGCTAGACTTTTTTATAGGAAGATGGAATACAAATGGAATATTTGAAGTGTCTAAAAACTGAGGGGGAAATTTAGACAGCCGTGAGGTTTGATATAATAAATATATAGAAAACTGGACAAAGAAAAACCAAGACCACTAATACCTAGAGAAAGCAAAATACTAAACAAAGGGAAAAAAAGCAATCATGTAATATACTACATGGTTAAGAAAGGAATTTACATAGTCATAATAATGTAAATACTAAAAAATTATCTACAAAATTATATTAACTTAAATAAATTTCAATATGTAATTTCATAATATCTTTATTAATGGTGTGTGTGTGTGTGTGAGGGGAGGAGGGGAGAGGGAGAGAGAGAGAGATGGAGAGAGAGAGAAATAGAAAGAAGCAGATAGATGGGCTGGCACTTAAGGAAATGTAAAAGAATACTCTACTGTTAAATTACTATTTCCAGAAGACAAAAAGCATGTAAAAATCCTATAAAATACTTAACCTCATCAAAAAAGGGTTTGAGAAATGTAGATATTCTGTAAATGCAGGACCTACTAGTATGTAGGTCTATATACAGTATTGACCTAGTTATTGATGAGCATAGAAAATATGGTCCTAGTTATATAATACGAAATATACAAATGGATGCACAAATAAGATGCTCAATAAAGTTTTAAGTGGTGGGCATCTTTGGCAGAATTTTGGCTAATTTGACCTTCTTTGTTAGTGCAGGTAATGTTTTATTTTAGATAAAGAAAAATCAGTCCTCAAAAACATATGATAAAGCTATTTTTTTTTTTTTCAGGTGGAAGGGAGGAAGGGGAAGCAATTCCTATTTGCTGGATAATTACATGGAAAAAAAAGAACATCAATATGGCCCTGATTACTCTTTGATTAAAAGACTCAAGTTTATCACTTCAAGGACTTTTTTCTTTTAAAAATAGTCACAAATTGAAGTACCTCTCTCCTGCCACAGTGTGTCACTCTTACAATACAAGTCTTTTTTAATTTCTACAGAAAGGGAGAAATTGTTTAAAGTCGGATTTGACTCCCTACCGAACAAGTAACATTTTTGAGGACAGAGTCCTAATCTTATTCACCGCTATAAATACCTGGCAGCAGCCAACAAAGTACTCAAAATGCATTTAAAATGTATTTTATAAATGTTTGTTGAACTTATTCAAATTAAAATACAGCCAGAATACAGTCATCTTAAACATAATTTACTGAAAATCACCCTATCAGGAAGGAAGGAACAGGCATTCCCATGCTTTAAGTGACAAACTTAAGCACACACTTTACAATAATCACTGGAAAAACAAAGCAGAAAAGAAAACTTTGGTCCATGTTACTAGTAAATGGGGACAGTACAATGAGCAAGAAGTATTTTGACATGAACTAAAACCTGGGTTGTTAGTTCAACGATCAAAGACTGCATCTACACTGACCTAAATGTTAAGGAAAAACAGATGAATATATGAAGTTTTAGGTTGAGATATTCATAAATGAGTTACTCATGTATCTTCCTTTGGTCAGCATACATTACTATTCAGATTAAAGTATAAAGATGAAACATATAAGATTATCAGACATAACAGTCCCCATCTTACTCTGCACAAGGCTAGACAAAAAACTCAGTAAGTAGTGGGCAAACTGATACCATCAAATGTGTGAAATATGGCAATTAAAATCCCAGTTTTACCACATTAACACCATGTTTTAAACTGACATTATTATTGGCTTGCTGTATTTCCAAAGTCTCCATCATTTAATGATTCAGTTTCTTACAATAAACACATCCTTTACTATACCTAAGCAGAAAAAGATGGAAAAATTATGAAGAAAACTTAGCATACACTAAGTTTTGATTCAAAGAAAACAGGTTTAAAGCTGCAAACATAAACACCCTTGTAAACAATGCACTTATTTTGTTAAACAAATTCTACTCATGTAAAATAAGGGTGACTACAGTATGTTACAGCATTTAATGTTTAAAAAGTGTAATTCTGACGAGAAAGTCGTAACGATGTACTTTTCCCATTTCATTTTGTTTTAAAAGGCACTGCTAATCTAATTTTCACAAATTGTTTTTCTAGTAAGGCAATGAAACATTAATGATTACATTTAATCTACCAATGTTATAGACTTCAGTTTTAGCAAAAATCGTAATTAAAACGTGTGTACTGGATTTGTTGGTTCAGTTTGCCTTTTTAAATGAATTATTAATGACTCTTAAAGTTCTCACAAATTCCTCAATCCTTAAGACTGTAAATAAGCTTCAACAATAATGTTAAGAGTTTATATGCTGTAAAGTAGTGAATCATATATGTAGTTTTTTAGTACAATGTACATAAATATTAACTTTACCTCTGATAATTTTAAGATCTGAAATTACTCTCTAAATCAGAGTAACCTAAATCACATTCAAAATTCTAAAGTGACTGAAAGTAAAAACTTAAAATTCCACGCACATGAAAATTCAAGGCTTCTATACATGATGTGCCAGTGTTAACTGCTCATTTCCAAAGCTCTTCATTTACCTACATTTTTCAGGACAGCAAAGTCCTGTTTTTGCTGAAGTAGCAAGTTTACTTTGTAACTGGTACATAAAATAACCAACATTTAGATAAATGGCTAGCAAAAAAATACTGTCTTTGTGTTCAATTTTTAGAGAGGGGGCAAGATGCAATAGGAGGTTTAAAAAGGTTAACACACAATCTACAAAAAATTCATGTTGAGACTAATTTAAACTATGCCAATTAATTAGTAGGGGAAATATGCTTTCTACATGTTAAGCTGAATATTTTTGAAAGCATCTGGCACATATAAGTCCGGTATAATTTACTTTTACTATAAGATATGTGGGCAAGTAATTACAGTTACTAAGTACACTGGCTGCAGATAATTGCATTCCTTATTAAATAAATTAGAATCCCAACAAGCCTGAGCAGTCAACTCTGCAATAACACAGAAGACCATTAAAGATTAAAAGAAAGAAGAAAAGGGAGAAAAGGAGAACAAGAAAGCCCTTCAGCAAATACTTTCACAAATAATCACTCAGGCAAAGCCGAACAAGTTTCGAAAGGGCCTGCTTTGACAGATGTTCTCTGGAAAAGCAAAGGCTGCAGGCAAAACGAATGGCTTTATTTATTTTATTTTTTAAGCTACGAAATATTAGTAATGTTTCTTTATTTTTCAAATATCTTAATTTTTTAAAAAATGCTTTTTAGAACCACTGTTCAGGGACCCGCCCACAGTGCCAGTTTCAAAGACATTTATTAAAGGAACTTCTGCTCTTATAGATTTGTCACAAGTATAAAATTATTCACAAAAGCAACTTTACTCCCTGAGAGAGAATAAAACTTCCTTAAAATTTATAAAGCTTCAAGAGGCAGTTCATCTTCTAAAGCTGTAAAAAAATCATCCACAGTGCTTTCACAGCGGGGCCTATATATACAATTCATGATATAAAAGCCCACATTCTCACAAAAGTCAAGGCAAAATTTAAAAGACAGAGTTCTTCTATTTCTCTGTATGAACAAGATTTGCTGACTGCTGACATTTATAAACTCAAAATACAGGTATTTTGGATAACACTTGTTTATAGTTCAAATTCCATAAAATGATCATGCAAAGTGTACTTACCAGTTGCTTATGCTTTCCCTTCACCTAACGCCTTAATTCTAGGCTTCACACACTTTTCTATCTTTCCAATAAAAATCGCTTGCAGCCTGCCACACTCCATAAAATGGCCGTGTTGTTTAACCAAGAAAAACATGTTAGAGATTGAGCTGTCACTTTTAAAAGAAAAAGAAAATAAACAATTGCTCCTTTTGTGGTGAAGCATAAAACACTTAGGCTGGCATTTTGAATCATGGAGCTCCCCTGGACGTTGCTATTGCTTTTCAAGTAGCTGTAGTAAAATTTCTGCCACATTCTTGCTTTCTGCATGGTGTCTCAGCAGTAACAGATCAGAACAGGCTAGCAAACGACTCCTTCCTAAATGTAAGCTCTAATTTCTTCTTCTGCAGTGAAATGAACCAAGTTTCTATGCAAAAGAATGAGTGACAGTATGCCCAGCCAATCAGCTTGGGTTTTTTCAGGAAAATCACCCCTTAATTCATTCAAAATTAGGTCATATGACACTATTTGAAATACTATTGGCTTACAATGAAAGTAATGTTTGACTCTACACAGGGTAAGGCCACCCATCTATGCTTCCCTGGGCTGAAGACACCTTGACTATAAACGGTACTGTGAATTAAACACACACACATATATACACACATACACACATACAGGAGGGAAAAAAATAATGGAGCCTTACCAGAGCTTCCCAACTATTAAAGGGCCGGAGTTCAGTTATCTTCTGAGCCTTTTTCTGAGAACACTGAGGAATCAAAGTTAGTTCACCAATTGAAGCATCTTGAAGAAAGTGAAGAATTTTACCCTTATAGCCATCCTCCATCACTTCTTCACCACTACTGTAGTCCTCATCTAGTGAACTGCCCGCATCAGAACCCGAATCATATTCAGAGTCTTCAATAACTCTCTTAGGATTAAATACATTTTTTTTACGTTTCTTATTAAAACCATTTTGTGGTTTCATGGAACATTTCTGTTTCAGCTTTGTTTTAGCTGAATTTTTAGGATAATTCTGACTTCTCGAAGAAGCTTCTTTTCCATTTGGAAATTCACTTTGTGAGGCATACTGCATATCTACATAGGTAGACAAAAGTAAATTAGAAAGATATAAATTAAATACAAGGATATAAACCTTCAAATAAGATAAAAAATATCTAAACATGATAGTTTTCTTTTGAACACAGAAGTCAACTATAATTTGTTAAATCTTGATACAAAGAGAAATACTGAAGTAGAATCTAAAGTTGTACAATGAGTTGAAATAGCTCGTTTAAAAAACAGGTGATAATTTTTAAAATAAAAAATATAAATCCCCATTTTCTAATAAAGGTCCTGAGCACATAAATGGCAGCTGCATATTCATAAGCTGCCCCAGATGTCGCTCAGCAGCCCATCTCCATGCCAACACGGATGGGTATAGCAAAAACAACGTTCACCCTAAATTAAAACCATTCTTATTATATTAATTTTCCATTGCCATCTCCACCTATTTAAATATACTATTATTAAAAAGCCCTGCGACTTTTTCATTGGTTTACCCATCATATCCCATAGATTTCTAAGATGTCTGATTGAAGAGATTCTGTTATCTCTTACTGGTTAGTCTATAACATGATACTTTACTGTTTAGAATGTTTGTTTTACTTACTCAAAGAACTCACAGACTTACACATTATCATACATTCATTCTGGTGCATGTATAATAAAAGGAAAAATGAATTGGATAAAGTATTCCTCAAATTCTCCACATTCACAATCGTTATAACTCTTTTGAATCATTCTCCAGACTCATAACTGGTGATTTGGTGGCTTTCTTTTTTCCACAGACTATCATTCTCTATGCCATCAAGAACACCAGTACTAGGGTATTTCTTAGAAGACTTCATTAAAAATAAAACAAAAAACCTCAATGCCATTGTACTGGGCTTTTTAAGCTGGCTTTGAAATTATGAAGAGCTGATCTGATTTGCTTAAGGATGCTAATAAACATATGTAATTCAACTCTCCTCCACTAATTCTCTACCATTTGGTTTTGAAAGTTAAAAGTGCTCCAACAGAGGTTTAGGGAATTTACTCCTATAGGTTTAGGGAATTTCTTCCACGCCAGGGATACTCTCTTTTAAGTTTCTGAGAGTGGTGCACTTTTGATACTCATGTAACGACAGGCAAGGACACCTACATTTCCTTGATTATAAAATACCAGCAATCATAAGATCCATCCTGAGAGATGTTAAAATATTAAAAAAATGTTTTTTTTATACTCTATAATACATGTTCACTTAAAAGTAGCCCTAATTATTTAAGAAAAAAAAAAAAGCCAAATAGAAATTTTCTATTTCATTTTATACTGCCATTAACATTTGGAAACTGCTCATTTAAAAAAAATTTTACATTATTATTTCTATTATTTTTTGCAATCCCATTCACTGATTATTAGCTAACAGGTTTATCATTTTCTTATATTCCAAAATATGTATGTGTTTTCTATGACAAAGGAGCTAATTACCTTGGTCTTCTGCAAACACTTTTAAAGATTCTAAAGCTTCTGTGTACATCCATTCATGTTCCTTGAGTACTTCCCTTAGTTCCTAGAAATAAGTCATTGATCTTTTTGTTAAAAATCTCAAATTAGCAACTCATACAAAACTTTTATACTCTTCTAAAAATAAGTAAATCACTTGAAAATTCATTTCTGATTATTTCATGCTTGTTTTCATGCTGCTTTACAAATGCTTTCTGTGTATATAAAATTTCACCTCTGTCTTCAAAGAAGTTGTTTGACTGTTTCTAAACTTTTTCTATCCCTATAACGTGCTCTGAAAACTTCAGGATCAAAAATATCTGTTCAATCAAACTTAAACATGTAGTTAGGCTTTTACAAACTGCCAACATCAAAACATACAGTTTCAACACATGTAAAGAACGAGAAGAACAAAAGATTTTGCATTTAGCTCTTCAAAATATTACCTGTGCATATACTTGAATAAAAACAATGCAAGTGTAAATGTATTCTAAATGTTAAACAATATGCTTCTACATACAATTATGTGATTAAACAGAGGTGCTTTTAATAGAGGCATGCTTGGCTGTGAAATTATTCTTACTATTTAATAAGTAAAACAAAGCTTATGGAATATTAAAATACCAAGATGCAGTATTACACTTTAAAATTCTTTTCTGGGGTGGGGTGCCTAAGTGGTTCCATCAGTTGAGCTGAGCAATTGACTCTTGATTGAGACTCAGGTCATGATCCCAGGATCGTGGGATGGAGCCCTGCATCAGGCTCTGTGCCAAGTGTGGGACATGCTTAAGATTCTCTCTTTTCCTCCCTCTGCCCCTCTCCCCCGCTCACACATGTGTGCTCTTTCTCTAAAAAAAAAAATAAATAAATAAAATTTAAAAACAAAAATTTCTTTTTTAAGTTTATTTTTTTAAATAATCTCTACACCCAGTGTGAGGCTCAAATCCACGACCCTGAGATCAAGAGTCAGACCCTCTTCCGATTGAGTTGGCCCGATTACCCCTATACTGTAAAATTCTTTTTTTTTTTTTAAGTTTGTTTACTTTTTGAGAGAGAGAGAGCATGAGAGGGGCAGAGAGAGAGAGGGAGAGAGGAACTCTCAAGCAGGCTCCACACTGTCAGCGCAGAGCCCAATGCAGGGCTCAAATTCACAAACTGTGAGACCGTGACCTGAGCAGAGATCAAGAGTCAGATGCTTAACCAACTAAGCCACTAAGCTGTCCCTTTAAAATTCTTAATGAGAAATTTAAAGGACGAGAATATGAAAAAAGCTAACAGTTAACTTTGCTTTCTAAATATTCACATTTTATATAGGAGTTCCAATTGTTATGGTTATGTCTGTTATTATTTTAGCTGTTATGGTAACATAACAATTAAGCTAACAATTAAGGTAAATACACAATGTAAGGAACAAGTAGTATAAAAGTATTTTATAATACTGATAAAAAAGAACATTTAATTAGAAAACCGTAAAATGCATACTGAGCTTTTACACAGTTGATCTCAAACACTATTTTATGTCAAACATTTAATATACATTGATGAAATCTGTTCATGACTACCCACCTGTTTATCAAAATTAGGAAATTCCTTTTGCAATTTCAATACAATACTTTCTTGCTTTTCCCAATTACTGCTAGATTCTGCAGACTCATTTGATTCTTCTCCCTAATGGGGGGGAAAACAATTCAGGAGATTACAAATAATGTTAACAGTCTTAAGACAATTATATTTATATTTTTACTTGATTTGGAACTTACCACAATTGGTAAGAATCCAAAAATGTTTCTTTCTGTTCTGTGAAAACTGACAAATTTATATCTTTAAGGGTAAAGAATTTAGCATTACAAAAAGACCTTGATTGCATATCCAATAACTCACACTTCATCCAGCACTCAAAATAAGATAAATCTGCTAAGAGACTAGAATGTTTCTTAATTACTCTAAATAATTCAGGTATATTGATGTCTCTCCAAGCTAATGGCAAGTGGCAAAAAGTGATTCAAATATTTCATCTATGCTCACAATTTTATAACTCCTTACAAATTTCAAATACTGAGAGAAAATATTTACTTCTACTTCAGTGTTGATTCATTGAATGGCTTGAGTATTAATTGTTCAGCCACAACATAAAAGTTACACAATGATGGAAACTTATGTGAAACCAAAACATTAAAATGGGAATAATTATCGTTACTCATTTAATCTTTCTTCTTTTGTCACTTAAAACTTTGCTTAAAAAAACTGGTTAAAATTTCGTATTTAAGCAAAAAAGATTCTTGGGTTCATGCATAAGAAAATCTTGTATTTTAGTCAATCAAAAATCATTTACCTAACTCTGCTTAGAACTGTACCACATGGTACACAAACAAGATCTAGAAAAACAGCTTCATGCTTTCTTTTACCTCCTTTCTTATCTGACAACTGTTAGTTTTTTTTTCTCACTACCCAAAACAGGAATACTAAAAATTATGAATACCTCTCTCGCACACAGGAATATGACGAAGCTCCACAAGGCAAAGACAAATAAAATACAATGAAAGTTTGGAGTAAGAAGAAGAAAACTCGTGTGTTTTTATAATACTAAATAGCATATCTGGGCTAAAGTACAGGGACCATAGAAAGGCTACAAGGCTGAAAACTTAAATCAGAGCTAATAATGCATTTGGCTTGCAATACCAAATTGAGATCAGTCTTTATTGAGAAAGCAAAGGATTCTGAACAGGAGAATAAAACACTAATATGTGGAGAAAGCATTTCAAAGCCCACAAAAAGTCATACTTGCATCCTCACTTAACAGCTGAAGACACTGAAACTTCAAGAATAAACCTTTTAGAGGTCACAGATGGATAATAACCATCTGAGGCTGGAAGAGACACTTAGGTGTCTTACTCTAGATTGGTGTTTTTCCACTATGTGTTTCCTATATGTTAGTCCTTCACATAGCACATTCCTGGCTTTGAATTCATTAAGTGTCTATCAATGAATGAACAGATAAACAAATTATAATATATACATAAATTGCTACGTTATTCAGTCTTAAAAAAAGAATGAAGTACTGATATTTGCTACAATGTGGATGAACTTCAAAAACATTATGCTAAGTAAAAGCTAGACTCAAAAGGGAATAGAACACCTTGTGTGCGTCTATTCACATGAAATACCCAGAATAGGTATATACACAGACAGAAAGCAGACTGGTGGCTGCCAGAGGCTGAGAGGGAAAGAAACTGCACGCTCTTATGGGGTGATAAAAATATTCTGGAACTAGATAGGAGTGGTGGCTGCACAACACTGTGAATGAACTAACTGGCACTGAATTATTCATTCTAAAATGGTTAATTTCATGCAATGTGAATTTTACCTCAATAAAAAACCTCTGATACTTGGAAAACAGTAAACATCTTTTGGAAATCAAATATATGATAGGACAAATTAAACATTCAGCAGATGGGCGAGGATGTGGAGAAACGGGCACCCTCCTACACTGTTGCTGGGAATGTAAACTGGTACAGCCCCTCTGGAAAACAGTGTGGAGGTTCCTCAGGAAACTAACAATAGAACTCCCCTAGGATCCAGCAATAGCACTGCTAGGAATTTACCCAAGGAATACAGAAATGCTGAGGCCATAGGACCACATGTACCCCAATGTTCATAGCAGCACTCTCCACAATAGCTAAAACATGGAAAGAGCCTAAGTGTCCATCAACAGATGAATGGATCAAGAAGATGCGGTTTATCTATACCATGGAATACTACATGGCAATGAGAAACAATGAAATCTGGCCATGTGTAGCAACATGGATGGACCTTGAGGGTGTTATGCTGAGCGAAATAAGTCAGGCAGAGAAGGACAAATATCATATGTTTGCACGTATAGGAGGATTAGGAGGAACTTGACGGAGGAACCAGGGGGAGAAGAAGGGGGGAAATGGTGGGGGAAAGGGAGAGAGGCAAACCATGAGAGACTCTTGAATGCTGACAAAAACTGAGGACTGATGGATGTGGGGGGGAGGGGGGATGGGCATGGAGGGGGGCACTTGTGGGGATGAGCACTGGGTGTTATGTGGAAACTAATTTGACAATAAACTATTTGTAAAAAAAAAAAAAAAAAAACATTCAGCAGATGGTATACCTATCCTTTGCTGTCTGCTCTCAAATCTAATACTCTTTTTTTCTTTTCTTTTCTTTTTTGAGAGAGAAAGAGTTGAGAAGGCAGGCAGAGGGAGACAGCGAATCTCAAGCAAGCTCCACACTCAGCATGGAGCCTGATACAGGGCTCAATCCTATGACCTTGGGATCATGACTTGAACCAAAATCAAGTGTCAGATGCTTGACCGACTGAGCCACCCCGGCACCCTCAGATCTAACACCTGTGCTATCCAGTGGTTACACAGGTGACACAAGGAGTTCAGGCCTAAATCTGTCTCAGGGACTGTACACTTATGAGTTATTCCTGTGATTATTTTTCCTATTCCAGAACGGAGAGTTGGATCAGACATATTTAGGACTGGCAGCAATCTCATGTTAGCTCCTTGGCCCAGAGAGTAAGGGCCATTATTGCAGGAAAAAAACAAATTCACATCCCTAAAACTGAGGAGGGGTAAATGGAAGAGGGAGAAAAAAGGAAGAGGAGAAGTACAAGTAGAATCAGCTGCAGCAACAATATAATGTTACTGAAGAACTGCAGAAACTGGTATCACCATCCCATCCCAATGTACTGCGGCTCCCTGGCCTATACAAAACCCGGATGATGGGTTTTGTAGAATTATTTTAGTTATCATAAACAAAGAGGTGATGACCCCAATTATAACACCTACTATACCAGATGTGGAATTTTTACTAGAGCAATCAGTATAACTGTGCAGTTAAAATGTATGAGATGCTTCTTCCCCCACTACCCCATCCCAATTAGAAAGGACAAGCAAAACCAATTTGTTTTTATCTGGGAAGGGCCAGTGAAAGACACACCTTCACAGTCCTCAGGGCTATGGTAACTCTCCTGTTCTTTCATAATATGGTAATCTGGGACTGACAGTTTTGCACAGTCCACAGAATATCAGTTTAACCATCTACACTGAAGACATCACTAAACTGGACTTGGTAAGTAGGAAGCAGTGGGTACCTCAGTAAGACACACACATGCCAAAGAATGAGAAATAACCCCCCTCAAATTCTGGGGACCACTACCCCTTTCATGAATTTTATGGGGGGGGGTCTAATCTGGGGCATGTTGCAAATGCCATTCAAAAAAAAAAAAAAAAAGAAAAAGAGAGAAAGAAAAAGGTTACATACTGTGTAACTCTAAAAAGAAGCAGAACAATCGGTCGGCCCCTTTGCTTCCTGGAGGCAGGGTATTCTTCATTATGGTGTGCACTGCTTAATCTGTTTATGTACGAATGAGGCCAAGACTGAGAAGGCTCTCTAGCAGGCCCAGGATACGGCACGAGGTGCTCTGCCCCTTGGGCTTCACTACCAATGAGTAGATGCAATGATTCTGAAAGAATCTGTGGCTGAGAAGCATGCTGTATGAAGTCTCTAGAAAGCCCCAATAGGAAAATCACAGCAGAGACCCATAAGCTTTTGAAGCAAGGTCAGGTATCCTTCTGCTGAAAACTCGTCTGTTCTGCTTCAATATAATATATGCCTTTTCCAAAATTACTGCACTGTGCAAAATCAGGAAAATAAACTACAGTTTCAAAAACTCGTGTTAGAGGCACAACATTCAAAAACTTCAGCAGTGACACATTAACAACATAGAAAGGACCCTTAAAACAGGATAGCACAATTTCACACTTTAAATGGTTACGAAGTACATAAATACCACAATAAATGTGAACTGAAGTTTGCTTGGGGGTGTTATCACTGGAAGGATTGCAGCTTGTGAGTTACTGTGAAGTGGTCAAAAAAAGGTTATCTGAACATTTCTTAACGCCAGCTCTGGAACACCATGGCTCACTGTCCTTGTGTTATCTCTGCTATACTGGCTGAGAATATAAATAATAAATTATAAAATAAACATACATTTCTGCTCCTTTGCTAGCCTCCTACTCTCATACTAATGCTGTCTGAATGGTTCTAAAGGCAACTGGGTGCTATGATTCTTATTATAGTCATCATTAAAGCCAGTATCTTCAAACCAGTACAGCTGTTTTCAGGAACACTTACCACATCTGACAACATGCTGTGTTAAGCTGTCATGGTGTAGCCTTATTGAGTCTTCACCATCATTATCATCATTACCCCCTATATCCGCATGGCTGTCAGCAGCAAATTACTACAAGAGTTCTGTGGTCCGATCATCAGCGGGACCCTATCTCTTCAACATCTCCACCTACTTCCTCAAAACCAACCCACTTTCCTAAATCAACACACCTTTTGCCGAGTTTTACAAATTTCTCTATAAGAATCAAATCTTTCAAAACTGCAAATCAAGTCAAGGAGGGTTTTCCACCACACATAATGCAAACGCTCTTGTCACTCTGGGTCGTAAACAATGGAACCAATGAAACTCTGATGTTAAATCTATTCCAAAATTCTATAACCACATCCGCATTCTCACTTTCAATAATAGCAATCAGTGTCTTAAATGCTCACGTTAAATAGTAAGCCATAAATGCTACAATCGTACACGTATCACAGGGCTATCTCAGGTGATTTTTTGAGGAAAAAGCAGGAAAAAATGGGGCTGAGTTCAATTTTTGTAGAGAGATAGGCTTGATAGGAATTGATAGGCATTATAGGAGTTTTTAAGTCTTTCTGGTTTTGTTTTTGCAATAATCCTGCTACAGCAGAAAAGAATTAAGTAAAATATTGCAGATTTGGGTGCTCCATCCATTTTTCCTGTACTGGTAATTAACTCTAAGGCTGACTTATTTCTTTTAAAAGGCTCAGCTTAGTTTGGTCTGTGATAAACTACTACTGGTTTCAGCTCTGAGTCTCTATCTGGCACTAGTGGGAAACAGCACAGTAATGCTATTGTTCAAAGCCCTAATTCCTATTTTATGTCTTTCAGATTTGGGATCTGTGAGGCATGCATTCATAACAGATATGTGTTTCATGAAAATTGAGTTGAATTCAATGTATAGTTGCTTTCTTCAGTTTACTTCTGTATCGCAGTTGTAAAATGCTTCTGGAGCTTTCCATCTACACTCAAGGCTTTGTGTGACAGCTGATGGCTCAGGAATTTGTAGCACTGTTTCAAACTACTAAAGCAACCACTATTGGCACCAAAAGAAGCTATTTCCACAGTATACACTTCTTTTCTCTAAAAGCCTTTGCATGAAAATATCTATATGGAAAAGGTCATTCCTAATCTTTTCACTTTTATCTTTAATACAAATGCTCAACAATCTTTCCTTTTCGTCTATATTTTGTGCCTATCCTGATCTCCCAATATCTGATGATGGTCCAGCCATATTATTTTGTGGTGCTGTCTCTGATGCTCCACAGATCCCTTTACGCCTGCTGCTCAGGACACAGCACCTGTTCTGAGCTCTTCCTAAACATCTGTCTCAAGCTTTTCCTCAATACTTAAAACTTTTCTTCTATACATACTGCCTGATATTTTTTAATGAAATTGCTTAATATGTTTGGGATGTTGAATGGGTGCTTTTTTTCTCAATAGAAAAGTTTGCCAATCTCAAAGAATAGTAGAACACAGCCTTGTGGGGAAATAAGCACGGTGAAATGTGGCAGCCAGCACAGGTCTGGGGTGTGTGCATTTTATGTATTCTATGTGGCTCAGTGCAGCTGGGTGCAGTGTTCTGTGTTCACCTGGTATTGCTCACGAACAGCACTGCACATAAATAGCATAAAATTTGATTATACTAAAATTGGTGTTTAATATATCTACTACACAAATAAATTCACATTTTAAAAGCAGAGGGACTTGGGGTGCTTGGGTGGCTCAGTCAGTTAAGCGTCCGACTTCAGCTCAGGTCATGATCTCATGGCTTGTGGGTTCAAGCTCTGCGTCAGGCTCTGTGCTGACAGCTCAGAGCCTGAAACCTGCTTCAGATTCTGTGCCTCCCTCTCTCTGTCTCACTCTTCCATGCTCAGGTTCTGTCTCGAGACAGGTTCTGTCTCGCTCGCTCTCGTAATAAGCAAACAAACAAACATTAAAAAAAAAAAAAAGATTTAATGAAAGTAGAAGGCACTGATCTCTTTTTGTGAAAAAATTGTTGGCTTGAAAGGGGTCCTGATAGGAACAGAACGGTTGGCCGTGGGACATCAAGTGACCATGAAACTTGAGTTATGTGATCTGGTTATCTGATCCACCAACCTTAAACCTGAGCATAAACAGCAGCAACTCATCATCAAGTTAAAATGGGAGATCTGAAACTGAACTTGAGCAGGTTCAGGAGGAACAAATAAGCTGCCTGTGCAGGTGTCCCAGGCTCCCATGGTACCTACTTCTGCGTTACTGCTCCTGCTCCTTCAAACAGGATTTATGGCATTTGGGGAATTCTTTATGATCAGATAAAGTGAGGGGGAAATCTTGAACTTGGTTTTCAAAGATTCACGTACTGTTAGAAGAAGCCCAAAGTGATGTAAACAAACAAGGTTGAGTGATTTAACTTCATTTAAGAGAGGTTTGGGCAGTACATCTTACCATCCATTTTGTAGAAAAAGAGGCGGCCAGGGGTAGAAAGCTATAATATGTTACGGACAGGAGATGAGGAGAAGAGTAAGAGTAGAAGACTGATGACCAGAAGTCTGGGAAAGAGGTACACTGTTGAACTTCGCAGGACTTTTTCTGAGAACAGAATGCAAGAGCAACCTTTTTCCTTGAGAATGTTCAGCAAAGTCCATCTACTACAAAGGAAATTTTTAGTAATGAAGAAAACAAGATGATCTACTTTGTGAACACCAATAACAACAAAGCCTCTTGAATGCTTGCTCCCTGGGTCTATAAACAAATGGCCATGGCAACATGAATAGAGGCTGTGTATACAGGTTAACAAGACAGTTCCACACCAAGATTTATCTGACTTCCATTACCAACAAATACCTGACCTGCCAAGAGCACCAACGAGTTTCCACAATAGCACTATTTTTTGGGAGAGTCAATCAATTGTCTGGTGGCAAGAGGATTATACTAGACCCCTTTCATCATGGAAGGGACAGTAACAGAAATCTACTCTAAGATGCCTTTCCTATCTACCCACTTCTGGCAATACCAGTTGTGGGTTGAACTACGTCCTTCCAAAATTCACGTAATGAGTAACAACTAGTACCTCAGAATGTGTTTATTTGGAGATAGCGTCTTTACTGACATAATCAAGTTAAAATTAGGATGAATCCTAATCTACCAACTGGCGTCCTTACACAAAAGGGGAAATTTAGAGACAGACATGCCCACAAGGAGCATGCAATGTGACAATGAAGACAAGGATCTACAAGTCAAGGAATGTCAAAGTTCCAGCGTACCATCAGGAACAAAGACAAATGGAAAGCCTTCAGAAGAAACCAACTCTTCTGACACACCAGCTTCCAAAACTGTGATACAATACATTTGTATTAGTTAAGCCAGTTTGTGCTACTGTGTTATGGCACCCATAGGCAACTAACATACCACAGATAGATAGAAAACCTAACTGAGAGGTACCTGGGTGGCTCAGTTGGTTAAGCGTTCAACTTTGGCTCAGGTCATGATCTCAAAGTTCATGAGTTTGAGCCTCATGTCGGGCTCTGTGCTGGCAGCTTGGAGCCTGGAGCTCGCTTTGGATTCTGTGTCCCTCTCTCTCTGTTCCTACCCCCCTCATGCTCTGTTTCTCTCTCTCTCTCTCAAAAATAAACATCAAAAAAAATTAACAAAAATAAATAAAAAAATAAGCCTAATTCACACAGTACACTAATGATACCACAATGTTCTTGACCAGGTCGCTAAGAAAAGTGCACCACTGAATTCATGTCCAGTGATTTCACCACGTGCCTCAAAACATAGAAGGGGCTTACAGAACAGCAGTATTGCTTAGTGAAAATTTAGCACGTGAACTATAGAGAACACCTAAGACTGATTTGTTGTTCAATAGGATGTACAAGCAAAGTAAATGCTTTGAATCAACAATCGATTTGATGCTACTTCCCCCCCAGCCATTATATATAGATTTGTAAACTAAGATGTAGGCTTAGTCTCTTATACTATAGCTATTCCTCATACCTAAAACCCACTCACAGAATTTTTAACTTCCTATTAGTATTAGTTCTCAAGAAAAGAATGCTTCCATGCAGGGACATAACAATTATCTCATCAAATTAGGGTAGAGATTGCCACCTAGCTACCAATGCTTCTTTTACCATTGAGTTACAGATAAGTAAGTAAGTAAGTTACTATACTAGTTGGGGGTGATGGATTTTTATTACCAAAAAGAAACTGTGTTGTCTTGAATGCAGACAGGGAGGACCATGTCTGGTTTCACTGGGAGGCCTCAATAGTTCTATTCTTAAAAGTTAATGGAAAACTATAGAATAACCTAATAAAAACAAAACCATGATTATTTTTAGATAAGTAGTTTTAAGTTATTAAGAGTCCATCTAGAAGAATTATAATTAGCTACCCTGGGGAAGGAGGAAAGGGTGCTGGTTCAACCATATATTAAAAGTATATTTTCAGGGTGCCTGGGTGGCTCAGTCGGTTAACAGTCCAACTCTTGGTTTCGGCTCAGGCCATGATCTCCAGGTTCGTGAGTTTCATCATCACATCAGGCTCTGCACTAACAGCGCGGAGGCTGCTTTAAATTCTCCTCCACCCCCACCCCCACCCCTCGCACTCTCTTTCTGTCTCCCAAAATAAACATTTTTTTAAAAAAGGATATTTTCCCTTCCCCAAAAGTTACTTTATCGTACCACTAGAATATTTTAATAATTTAATTTTATAACTCAGAGATAATTAGTACCAGATAAATTAAAAAGAAAGCACAGTCATAAATGAAATGCCAACAGCATCTGATCTGGCTGTGAGAGAGAAGTCTAATTCATCTGGATGCATTTAGGTCTGATATCCATAGATTCAACATACTCTGTGTCTAATAGCTGATTTTGATACTTTAATTCAAATGTAACTTACATGATCCAGTCTTTTCTTCTTTATAGACTGATCATCATTAAACTCATCTTCCTCATATGGCTCTGAAGAAGAAGATAATTTTCTTTTCCTGGGTCCACCACCTTCTAAAATGGAGAGGCACAATCAAAGTTTGCACAAGTATTATAAGAAGCATCAATGTTAAACAAAAGTAAAAAAGTTATAATGAACATGTGTAGATAGTTCTCTGACATCAGGCCCAATGTTATTTCTTCTACATTATCATGTAAACTCAATAAATGTCAACTGAATTAAAGGAAAAGTGAACAGAGATTCTTACCAGTCTTTCAAAAGTATAAATCACTCTAATGATGTTATTTGTAAACCATCATTATTTAATAACAGCATCGCTAAACTGAATGGTCATTCTACAAAGCAATACTGAAATGAAAGAGTTCTCCTCAGTGACTGAGTGTTGAGCAGTGAAAAAAAAGTTGAGCCCTATCTGTGTAGCTTATTGAATACCATCACTAATACCAATAATTGTTTACTATGTACCAGGCTTTGCAAAGGGCTTTTAGAAACTGTTGCTTCACTTATTTTCCACAATCAACTTACAAGGTAGGTAACAGTCTCATTTAATAAATGAGGAGGAAGTGAAATAAAGACAGCTCAAGCGATTAATGCTCTTAACCTAAAAACAAGACAGTGTAACATACAGGCTATAACAGTGTTAGAAAATTTACATATTCTGCCATAACTGAAAGAAAAACTCAAACTATATGATCTTAAAAAAGCTTTATCACAGGGGTGCCTGGCTGGCTCAGTTGGTAGAACAGGTGACTCTTGATCTTGGGGTTGCTGAGTTCAAGTTCCACGTTGAGTGTGGAGATTACTTAAACTAAAATGCTAAAAAAAAAGGAAGCTATATTATGTATTAGTAGTTTGAAGATATTTATCTATTTCTTATATACTTTTACTTTCATAAAGCCAATTCCTTAGACATACTGCTGTGCTAACGTGAAGGCATCTGTTTGAGCTTACAAAAGTACAGTATTCATTACATCAGTACCCTAATTATGCTGTTAGAAATAAAACTTGTAGAAGTGCAATATTCAAACTAAATACAAACATGACAGCTTTTAAGTTGTAAGCCTGAAAACTTTATAATATGGTTATAACAAAAAAGGAAATGTTATCAACATTTTAATGTCTAATTTCCATGTAAATGTTTAAACTTTTGTCTTCTAATTTGTTCCATAAAGTAAATGTGCATTCTGCAGACACCAAGTAATTCCAAGCATCCACTTTAAAAAGGGATCATCACAATTATATTTGCTGGGGTGGGGTGAGCACTGTTAGTCATATTCTACGTCTGGAAATAAAAGCTTCAAACAACATGATTTATGCCAGGTCACCTCGATATGTTTCTTTCCTGAAAAAATAAGAGCTTTGTTTTGTCAATAAAGGATTATTCAACCTTAAACATATGTTTATACATCCTTCTTTTCGTTAATATTATGACACCAAATATTTACATGTATTTAAAAAGGCCACAGGCAAAAAATTTGCAAATAAGATAGGGAGAAAATGCAAATCTACAATCTGACTGCAAAAATATTACATAACAGTACACAACGTTGTTACCTACATCTATCTCTATAATTATTAATTAAACAGTTTGCATTTATCTGTATGTTATCCTCAGCCCAAGTGCAGCTACCATCTGCCACCATACAACGCTACTATAGACTATCTTCCCTGTGCTGTGGGGACATGTTCTCACTTGTGGTGAGTATAGCATATAGTTATGGAATCACTTTTTGTACACCTAAAACTAATGTAACACTATGTGTTAACTGTACTTCAGTAAAAAAAAAAAAAAAAAAAAAAAAAGTTTGTGCATATATCTAAAGAAAACAAGTTAATATTCTATTCTAAATATCACTTCCAAATTGTGTTTCATACTTCTCATCTTTTATTGGGGGCACTCACCATAAATTTCAGAAAAAAAAAGTTAAAATTAAAATTATTCCTTATACCTCAGATGAAAATAAATTTCATCTAAGTTCATATTTAACAATAAAAAATAAAACATGAAAACTATAAAAAGAAAATAGACAAAGAACACATATTAGCAGTTCAGCAGGAAAAAAAATGAAAGAATACTCAACTTAATAATTAAAACTTTAAAATACCATTATTTTTCATCCATTAACAAATAGTAAACAGACAGACCCTAGCAGACCACAGGCATAAAGGCACTTTTAAATGTTATGCATTGCTCTAGCCTTTCTGGAAGGCAATCTAAGTAACACACCTCAGAATTCTAGATATGTGTATAGTTTAGTCCAACAATTCCTTCTCTAGGAATTTATCCCACAGAACTGACGGAAATGTGTGCTCACATATACATACAAGAACTCTCACAAACTGTCTAAAACCCAAGATATTAAACAAATTAGAATATACTCATAAATTCCACTGTTATAAATTAGGTAGACTTTTATAAAATAAACATGGAAAGATATCTCTAATTATTGAAAAGGTTACAAAGCAACAAATATAATAGGATCACAATCACATTAAGAATGTTTTGCTTATATTTATACAAACACAGAGAAGTAGAAGGAACAGCTAGACAGACTCTGGACAACATCAATACATTTCATATTTTTACCTTTTAAAATAGGATAAAAACGCTGGAGATATATATATGTATATATATATACACACACATGTGTATTATGCATACATATATGTCACCTAGTGTCCGTAAATGAAAACTTTCAGAAAGCAATGAATAAAAGGTACCTATTGTTTAATATAGGAGTTATTATCTATAAGAAGATTATAACTTGTGCTAAAACCAACATCCATCATCATGATGCATAGAACTGTCCAAAATCTCTTACATATATTTAAGGCCTTTTCACAATGAGAAACAATGAAATCTGGCCAAGTGTAGCAACGTGGATGGACCTTGAGGGTGTTATGCTGAGCGAAATAAGTCAGGCAGAGGACAAATATCATATGTTTGCACGTATAGGAGGATTAGGAGGAACTTGATGGAGGAACAAGGGAGAGAAGAAGGGGGGAAATGGGGGAAAGGGAGAGAGGCAAACCACGAGAGACTCTTGAATACTGACAAAAACTGAGGACTGATGGATGTGGGGGAGAGGGGGGGATGGGCATGGAGGAGGACACTTGTGAGGATGAGCACTGAGTGTTATGTGGAAACTAATCTGACAATAAACTATTTGTAAAAAAAAAAAAAAAAAAAAAAGATTCTCATGATAAAGGAGGAGATGATTCAGAGACCCAGAAAAGCAGGCATATCTATACTACATTATACGTGTAGTAGACATCTGTTCATATTTGTTTTTGTTGCCTGACTTCCATCCTGATCATTGTACTCAGTTTCTCTCGAGTGCAGGAGTTGGAAAACTATGGCCTGCAGGCAAAATCTGGCCTATTTATTTTATAAATAAAGTTTTATTGGTACATTAAAAAAAAAAATAAGAAGGCCTTTTCAGGGAAAACGGTCTTAATATATCCAAATCAGTTTCCTGTTGATATCGTATACTGGAGGGCTACCTTACGTTGGTGTCATTCCAACACCTGAGAAGTGTAATGTGCTAAAGATGAAGATGACTGATATGACTGTGCATTCCATTCTAAGACGAAGCATGGAAGTTTACTTAAAAACCAAGAAAACCCTGATTTCTTCTTTTCTTCTAACTTTCCACTTGAAAATATTTTTTTAAAAAAGAAATATCAATCTATAGTGCAAGAATGAGAAGAAAAAAACTCAAAGGAAGTTCACATTTAATGTGGACTGTAAACTCCATGAAGGCAAAGGTTTTGTCAATTTTGTTTCCATATGTAACCTCAATGCCTAACACAACATCTCGCACCTAGTACTAAGTGCACAGTATCTGTTAAATTAATAAATAAGTTGAATGATATAAGTTGCTCAAGAGAAAAAATATTAGACACTACTATGGAATAAAGTTTTTCTACAAATTTGAAAAGATTATGAACTATTGAGGTATTATAAGAATATGTAAAATTTTCCAATCCATTTTGCAACTCAAGAAATGTTCATTATGTGTACCATTTTTCAGGAACTTTGACAGTAAGTGCTAGAGCTATAGTAATGAGGGAGCTATCAATCTTCTCCTGTACCATTTTCTATCAGATGGCCCCTGCAAATAAATAACTGCTAACATTTACTAGGAACTTATTATGTGCCAAACACTACATAAGAAATATACAGTATCACTTCTTCACAACAAGCTATGACATCAGTACTATTATTACACTATTTTGCTCCTAAGGAAACAGAAACACAGAAGAGTTAGGCAACACTGCCCAAGGTCACACAGCTAGGAAGTGGAAGAAAAGGAAGAATCTTAACATTCTATGCAGTTAGCACCCACACAACACAATACTATTCCCTTACTCAGATTGGAAAGAATGAAAGAATTAAAATATTTCACATGGATGAAACAATATCATCTTTGGAATGCACGCCAGCAAAATCTACTTGGGAGAGAGGGAAATAGGCACTTATTCACACAATATTAATGAAAAAATAAATTAGCACAACCTTCAAAAAAGTAACATGGAAGTAGATATTAAGTAGTGTATATTTTTTGATTCAGCATCCCAGTTTGAAATTTAGCCTATAGAAATAACATAAAGATTTCCTTATAAGACTATTTACTTTAGTACTATAATAAGATAATAAAAATATAAATGCTAATTAACAGAGAAATAACTAATATACCAATCTTACAGGCTGTTACAGAAGAATGTTATGAGCCATATTTAAAAGATGGATAAATCTGCTTGTTCTGATGAGTTACCCATGAAAAATTATCAAATGATTTTTTTAAATATGCAAACCAATACTATTGTTACATTTCCTAATTTAAAGCGTGTGTGTGTGCGCGCGTGCATTGTACAGTGGTGGGGACAAGCATAGGAAAAGTTGAAAATGATACAAAGCAAATTCGAGGGTGATTAATGGGAGTGTGGGTTTGTCTTCATTACTTAAATACTTTTATGGTACTAGGAGTATAGGTTATTTTTACTGGTTTGGTATATACAAGTTAGGAGGAAAATACAGTATTTGCTTAAAGAAATTGGAGGTGCTTTTATACTGTAAGCTCCTTCAAAGGCATTTATTTTTGTATCCCAAGCCTGGAACATAGCATAAATATTTACTAAATGAAGGAATGCTGATTACCAGCTAGGACTTTCCACAAGACATTATGTTCCTACTGACTCAGATTTGTAGACCTGTAAATAAAACCACAATGCAATTAGAAAGGACACTTGAGAAAGAAAGAAAATATACCTTCCAAAACTTCACTGTTACGAGATTTGATCTGTAGAAAACAAGCAAAATTACCAATGAAAACCTGCCCCCTCCCTAGGGAAGAAAAAAAAAAAAATCAACCTAGAAAATGTGATTCCCAAATAGCTGTATGACCTCAGGTAAGTCACTTAACCTTCTTAAGCTTCAGTTTCTTTATTTAAAAAAACTGAAGCTATTAGTAACTCATAAGGATCCTGTAAGAATTCATGAATGTGTTTAGTAAATTGTAGAGCAGTAGTAAAAATGTGAAGATATTTATTATTATTATATAACTAATAAATACACATGGGTGGAAACTAAGCCAGGCATACCTGCATCACCAAACATCAGCAAGGCAGCAGCAATTGCTCCATCCATAGTGCTTGTTGATTCAATCAACTAATAGAACAAGAAAAGATGGTTTGAAAAAGAACGCTTTAAAAAGTCTTTCACAAGTCTGTACAACGTAAGCATTTCTTACAATGTTGTTAGATTTATCATCACTGTTGATGAAATACATACATAACAGTATATCCAAGATTTTGTTATTTTTATGTTTTAATTTGCAAGGTTCTACATTGAAGCCTTAAAAACTCCCCACTTATATGTGTGTCCAGGCAAAGAAAGAGAGAGAAAGAGGGAGAGAGGAAAGAGGGATACTTGTAGACATCTGTATTATTCCTTTTTTGTTTATTGTCAAATAAACCACAATTCTGCAGTCACTTTTTTAAAAATCTAATAAATTCTTAAGATGAGTGGGACAAAGGGTTCTTTTTGATTTTTCCTCTATTTGTGAATCATCTGAATTTATTAAAGAACAGTCATATACTATTCATATAATTAATATCCTCAATATATATTTTTATAGTATTCTATGACACTCTGTATTTCAGAAGGAACTAAACATCTGTATTTTTCTTTTGCTAGTCTCCCTAATTTCCAATGAGCTACTTGTTTTAAAAAAATCTTACATTTTGGTGTGGTGATTCAGATCTTTCATACTTGTTTTATAATTACTGAATAAATGCTTTTATTTAAAAACTGGAAAAAAATAAAATGAAAAAATGAAAAATCTTACATTTTTAAACAAACTATTTTTATATTAAATTAAATATTCTCAAAACAATTAAGAGCACTCACTCTCTTCTGGTTTTCTTAATCTTGGATCCTTAAATATTTTATAAGCCCCCCCTTCATTTTCAAAATACCAAAACACATTCTTATCAAGTTTAGGATTAAATTTATATTTTACAATTTCTTGAATTCCTTTATATGGGTGTAAGAGTCTTTGCAGAGCACTTTATAAATGTTACCTTAAATCTCTTGAAATGATTGGGATCAGCTGAAACAGAGTACTTCAAGAGTGCTCTGCTTTGGAGTAATATGCTAAATTCCCTAAATTTCAAATACTGATGTAATGAAACATGCATATAAATTCTATGTATCACTCTTATTCTCCCACTGCAATTATAAAATTAGAGATAAATATTCGTACGGAAGGAAAAAAACCCTTAAACTACATGAACAATTAGCAAGCAGGCTAAAGTATTTTTAAACTGCAATTTGTTCCTTTGAATATTTAATACTTCATCACGTATATTCTGTTAGAAGCTCTTTCCAACATTATAAGTAGCCTCTGTAGCTACTAGTTGTTACATGTATTGTCTTCTTATTCTAAAAAAAGAAAAAAAATCACATCAGGAGGAAAATAACACTGCTAGCAAGGTGCAGACTCAAGATACCACTAGTTTCATTTAGCTAACAGTAAGAAGGTACCAAAATGATTTAGGGAAACAAAGATTCAGGTTAAAAATAACAAAGAATAGAAATAATCTATTCTACAGTTTAAACTAGGAGGCCCAGAATCACCTTTAGTTTTATGTGGCCTGAACAGTTTTTTTTGTCTTTCTTTAAATTTGTTACCATAAAAAGTTAACAAATTACTGATACAACAATGACATGGATGAACGTCAAACCCTTAGGCTAAGTAAAAGACACCAGTTGCAAAAGATCACATATTATATAATCCCATTTATGTAAAATGTGAAGAATAAGCAAACCTAAAGACAGAGATTAGTGGCTGCCTTGACCTGGAGGAGGGAAATGTGGAATGATCGTTAAAGAATACAAAGCTTCTTTTTAGAAATATAAATGTTCTAAAAATAGATTATGGTTATAATTGCACAACCTTGCAGGTATAAGAACAACTAAATGACACACTTTAAATAGGTGATCTGTATGGCACTTAAATTATATCCCAAGGATACTATTAAACTGATCAACAGTAAAAAAAAAAAAAAAAAAAAGAAAAAAGAAAAGAAAATCCAACATTTTCACTTTATTTGGAAAATTGGAATACCTTATTTAAAAAATGGGCTATCATTGATATCACAGTCATATCATGCTGACGCTAGAGAGCAGCTACCCATTTCAGAGACAGCATATACTCTATAATAGGTTATTGTCTCTCACTTCAAAGTTACCTGCCTAGCCCATTCAGATACGGTAACTCCTGAGGTTCAGATTGGACACAATGGTGACAAGAGAGAAAAAGATGAAAAACACATAAACTTACCAACTTGACAATAAACTATGAAAGAAAAAAAAACCACATAAACTTGCAATTAAATGGTTCCCCTACGGTCATTTAAATAGTAAGTCACAGAGCTAAGAATAAACTATTCACTAGTAATCTTCAGAGATTTAGTCTCTACCTGAAACTTAACTGAATAATCAATTTTTATGTGCTCTTATAATGAGATGCCTATTACAATGCAAATATAGCCACTTATTTTGTTTCTACTCAGGTCAATCAATTTTACTCAACAAGGGTGCTAGTGGTGGGATAATTCTTTTGTTATACAGGGCCATCCTCAGTACATGGGGTGTTTACAGTGTTCCTGGTCCCATGGCACCAAATGTCAAGAGCCAATCCTTTGTTATTATGAAGACCAAAAAAAAAAAAAAAAGCCTCCTGACATTTCTGAGAGTTCCTAGTGGGAGATGGGGAAGTCTCTATTTTAGAACCATTTAAACTAAAAAACAAAACAAAACAAAAAAACAAACCATAAGGTATGTTAGTTATTAAGGGAAACTCAACTTATTATATCATTTATAGGTGAATATCTTACCTATTTAAAAAGTTAATACTCCCAACAAGTAAATCTCTGGCATTTACTTTTATTATTACATAAAAGTTAATTATCTCAAACATACTTTAAAAAAAAAAAACTATCCTCTAAATATAGTACTAGATACAAGAGAAATACAACATCATTATAGCTATAATAACCAATTACTATAAAAGGGTATAACCTTAAGTAAGTCATTGTCACTTCTTTGTGGGAAAAGTTCCTTCAAGGTCTGAAGTTTAGCGTCTTTAAGGTCTTCCAATTCCGAAAGGTCTTCTAATTCTGAAATATCATCGTTATGTCTACCTGCCATGGTAGGAAGGCCCTGGGACTCTTCATCTTCAGAGGGCTCAGAACTAAAAATATTTTCATAGGAAAAAAAAAAACCAGTATTTTAATATATTATTGTTATTACAATCATATATATGTATATGTAATATAGTTCTTCTCAATCTGAATGCAATCTATCCCTATCAAAGATTAAAACAACTTTTCTCATTTCAGTATGGTTATACAGTATATGTAAAATCTACATTCCCAGAGTCAGCATACTTTGAATATCTCTTCATATTATCTGGGCTGGGATGAAAAAGAACAATAAGATACCTGGTATTTATTTTAAGATACACAAGGTCCCCAAGCACCAGAAATAAGTATTTTAACAAGCTTCTAGGCTGACTTCTTGATCCTGCTCTAAGAAAATGCTCTAACGTAGGTAAAATAAATCCCTTCCTTTGTCACTAACGCCTGTCCTTCAATATTTGAAGGTGACTACATGGCTCTCCCTTTCCATTACACTCAGACCTCTCATCCTTAATGTACTAATCTCTGAATTCTCACTCTGCCTTACTACAGTCATACTTCTGACTCTGCCATCTAGTTCAGTGAGAAAATTCAGGTTGGAATCTTCTCACAATTTCTACCCTGGATAACCACTTTCAAAGGTTCTTACTCTGCTAACTGTCACCTTCACCTAATGATCGGATTCACCACCATCTGGTGAGACAAACTCATGTGCCACTTGATGTAGTATTTATGTTGCCTATGAATCTTAACATGCCTTGGATTTAACATCTAGTTCATAGGAAATAAAAGTGAGAGAGGAATAAATTCAATACCATCATAAGGAAACAGAAAAATCTATTTCCTCTAAGAAAAGCCTCTTCTTAAGTTAATATCATTTAAAAAGAGAAGGGAAGGGGAGCCTGGGTGGCTCAGTAGGTTGCGCGTCTGACTTCAGCTCTGGTCATGATCTCACTCATGGGTTTGAGCCCCACATCAGGCTCTGTGCTGACAGCTCAAAGCCTGGAGCCTGCTTCGGATTCTGTGTCTCCCTCTTCTCTCTGCCCCTCCCCTGCTCATGCTGTCTCTTCCTCTCTCTCTCAAAATAAATGTTAAAAAATTATTAAAAAATAAAAAAATAAAAAGAGGAGGGAAGAGGACTATTCAAGATAAAAAGAGAAGTCAGGAGTTTTATCATGCAAATACAGTGGATTCTCCTTGTTTGGATACTGGTTTGGAAAAGCAGCTATAAAACACACGAATATAAGCTGGGAATTAGATGATAATGGAGAATGGTTCATTTCTAACAGTACTCGGTTTTCAGGAGGAGGAAGATGTATTACCAAGTATTATTAAGGGTAGAAATGTTCAGATGTCCATAATTTAAAATACTCCAGGCCAATAATAGATGAAACAATGAAACAAGTTAACAAACATTAAGTATAGGTGGTAGGTATATGGGTGTTCATTGTCCATTAGTTTATTTTCTTGTATGACTAGAAGATGTAAAAAAAAAAAAGAAAAAATCCACAAAAACAAGAGTTGATGACTTTGTGTCCTTTTATCTAGTCTCAGATCAAGTTCTTCCCTTCTGCTGAAGGTAAAGTCCCCTCTCAGTGCTAAAGGATTCTAACCCTTTCTACTTCCTACAACACCCTGCTTCAACTATCTACTGTCTTCTTTCCTCAATCTCTTCTCTCTCCTAAGCTCTTCCTCCCAAGCCTACAATGAGCTCAAGACTATATTAACGAATTCAGTGTAACAAGAGTTCTAGAACAGTGAACATAGCACTGAACTAAGCAAATTCTCGGGGCACCTGGGTAGCTGTCAGTTTAAGCATCCGACTTCGGCTCAGGTCATGATTTCATGGTCGTGGAATTGAGCCCCATGTCAGGCTCTATGCTGACAGCCCAGAGCCTGGAGCGTGCTTCCAATTCTGTGTCTCCCCTGCCCCCTCTCTGCGCCTCCCTCGCTTATGTGTGCACTCTCCCCCCACAAACTAAATTTAAAGAAAACATAATAAGCAAATTCTCCTTTCCTCTACAAATTTTATAAAACTGATTTTTCAACTTGCTCATTTCCTACATAGTTCTCATCTCAATGTTTTACTACCTTCTGCCCCACCATTTTGATGAAATTGTTCTTACCAGGGCAATAACATCCTTTAAAATATCAAATGTAATGGAAAGAGCCTAAGTGTCCATCAACAGACGAATGGATCAAGAAGATGTGGTTTATCTATACCATGGAATACTACATGGCAATGAGAAACAATGAAATCTGGCCATGTGTAGCAACATGGATGGACCTTGAGGGTGTTATGCTGAGCGAAATAAGTCAGGCAGAGAAGGACAAATATATGTTTGCACGTATAGGAGGATTAGGAGGAACTTGACGGAGGAACAAGGGGGAGAAGAAGGGCAGAAATGGTGGGGGAAAGGGAGAGAGGCAAACCATGAGAGACTCTTGAATGCTGACAAAAACTGAGGACTGATGGATGTGGGGGGGAGGGGGGGATGGGCATGGAGGAGGGCACTTTGGGGATGAGCACTGAGTGTTATGTGGAAACTAATTTGACAATAAACTATTTGTAAAAAAAAAAAAAAAAATGTCAAATGTAATAAAAACCTTTCATTGGTTAGCTATTCCTCTGCAGTCCCATCCACTGCTGAGGCATCTCTTTGAAAATCTAAACCTATAACCATGGGTTCTGCAACATTAGTACTTGTGATTTTCCTTTGCCTCTCCACTTGTCCTCAATCTCTAAAGAAGGCTTTTCTTGAGACTTCAGACAGAGAAAACATTAAACCATCCAAGTACTTTGACCACATACCTTCAATCTAAAGACGAAAGAAAACTTACAAACTCTGAACTCTACTTAATAGGCTTAATGGTCAAGTCGTATGATTACAGCAATTCTGTAACTATTTATGCACACTGGATAACTGAACCAATTAAGAAATAAACTGACATAAGAAAGCAGAGTTCTCATAGTGAGAAAAGGAACTATAGAAGGCAAGGCAAGGAAGAGGCTTGTAGTGGTAGATTAGAATTAAAGGTATCATTAAGGGAAGCCTGGGTGGCTCAGTCCATTAAGCATCTAACTCTTTGTCTCAGCTCAGGTCATGATCTCATAGTTCATGACTTCAAACCCCATATCAGACTTTGCATTGTTTGGGATTCTCTCCCTCTCTCTCTCCTCTCAAAATAAACTTAAAAGAAAAAATATCATTAAAAACTCATGATTTAAAAACACAAAAAACAACACACATACATTCCCTTCATATTTCCTTAGTCCATAGAGCTAAAAGGGCCATGACAGAACCCTGTCTTGCCCACTAGCAAAGAAACACTTCTAGTCTCCAGATTTCCAAATATCATGCTCTATTGAAAGGAACCAACCAGTACCTCCTGGGAGAAATGGCTAATTCTAAATTCAGACCTAGGGGAGGGATAATATAAGTCTGGACCATCTTATGCCAGAAGAAAAAGACTCGTAAAAATGACAGGAACCTCTCAAAACTAGAGAGGGCCCTCATGTGCCAAAACTTAACAATTTGAGCACCTAAATGAATAACAGTAAGTGAATAACAACTCATGGAACAAATAAACATCAATAATTCCATTTTGATATTTATTTATACCATATAAATACTATATAAATGAATAAATGAGGAGAAAAGACAAAACCCTTTCTTCTATTAGAATACCAAATAAAGTATAAAATCTGAAATGCTAGTTAAAATACCATCAATTTGCAACCATCAGTATAATAACTGATTCAGGTTAGAATCATCAACAGATACTGTAACTACTGAGTGAAGGTCTGCTAAGGAATAAGATCATTACCTAGTCTCAAATTATCTGCCCATAGATTAATCACTGTGAAAGGGAAAATGGTAACTATAGGTGAAACCTGGCAGGTTTGTGAGTGATCCAAGTTCACTTCCACAATAAAGAGACAAATCGCTATCACTGTGCCTTGAAATATGACACACCGAGCCACAGAATCATTTATGTAGCATTCTTGAAACTTAACAAATTTAATCATGAAGAAAATCAGGTTAAGCACAAATTGAGAAACATCCTTAAAAAAAATGGCCTCTTACTTTCAAAGGCCAGGAACATGAGAAACAAACAAAAAAAGGCTGAGAAACTGTTTCAGATTAAATGAGACTAAAGAGAGATGACCCTGGGTAAAAAATTCCAACATGATACTAGGAGAAAAATTACAATAAAGTACTACTTAAAATGTGGTCCAAGGACTGACTGCTGGTTCTTAAACTCACACTGTTATCCATCAATGACAGGATAAGGAATCTACACGAGATGGTAAAACAAATAATGTTACTAAGCATATCACTTAATCCAGCTGATTTCTCCTTATACAACCTACTGGCAAAGGACCTGGTACACTGATTTACATTCTAGGGCACATTCCTTATTTACAAACCAGGACTTTAGAATAGCACTGCTATAAAGGACATTACTGGGATTAATAGGTAAAATTTAAATATGCACTGTACATTAGATAAGTATACTGTGCAATGTTAACTGGTAATTCTGAATATGAAATGCTACTTTTGTAATTTAAGAGAATAACCTTGTTCTTAGCAGGTAAATGTGAATCTAATACATTTAACCATGTAGGATCTTCACTATTTTTCTTCACTACTTTTTATTTCAGAGTGAACGTCATGAGAAAGGCATATTCATCACAGCTTACAAAAAGTTCATTTTAAGAGGAAATTCTCATCTTATCAGCCACAGGCACTCTTGATCTCCTGCTCCTTGAACATTTTCTTCACTTAGCTTCTGATCACACAACCTTTTGACCTTTCTCTTACCTCAACAACTATTCCTTCTTAGAACCTCTACAGATTTCTTCCCATCTGTTTCTAAAATCCCAAGTTCCCCTGGCCTGAGTCCTTCAACCAAGAGATCTTCTCTTTTCCAGCTACATTGGTGTCCCCTGGTGATTTCACTTTATCATATGGCTTTAAATATCAAATCTATATTCTGACAATTCCTAAATTTAGATGCTACCCAAACTTCCCCCTAGAGCTCAAATGTCATATATCCAATTGCCTACTTAACATCTCCTGCCTAGATGTCTAAGAGTCTTCTCAATTACAGCATGTTCAAGACTGAACTGTCACTCTCGGTCTTCAAAAGGCGCTCTCCTGTCATACTCAAAACAGTCTTCCTTATCTCAGTTGATAGTAACTCAATCCTTCCAGTTGCTTAGGCCAATCCCACGGTCATGTTTGACTCCTTTTTCTCCCACCCCACATCAACAATAAAACCTCTCTGCTCTACCTTCAAAGTATAGGCAGAATCTAACCCCTTCTAATCATCCCAAGTAGTAGCCCAGTCTAAGTGTCCATCATTTCATGCCTGGGTTATTACAACAGTATCCATACTTCTATGCTGTTCCCCTTCAACCTCAAAGACCTTTTTAAACATGTGAGTGAGATAATTTTACTCCTCTTCTCTCTATACTCCATCAGCTTCCTCTCTCATTCAGAATAAAAGCTAAATAGCCTATGGGCTCACCACAATTAAATTCCTCTTCTACCCCACTGCTTACCTTGTGACCTTGTCTTTCACTCTGTATCATTTGCTTCCTTAGAAACATCAGGCTTAACACCACTTCAGGGTCACTGAACACGTTACTTCCAATGAGCAGAATACTCCGCCCTGCCTCCCACCCTCATACCCACATGGTTCACTTTCTTAACCCCCCTTCAGCTCTTTACTCAAGCATCATCTTCTCAATAAAGCTTTTTTCCAACTATGCTCTTTAGAAACCACACTCCTACCCCTGGCCCTGAACTCCATTATTTTCCTTCCCTTTTGGCTATAATATTTATTATTTGGCATACGACATTGTTTGTTTATTGTCTTTCTACCTGACTATGACACAAGCTTTGTGTTTCTCCACAGAATGTGCCCAAAAATGTTAAAATGATTTGACTCAAGAACAGATTGTAAAGCAGTTACAGATGATCAAAGGTATATGTTCAAATAATTTCCCTATCTTGGAGGGCTAAAAAATATTATCTCCTCTCACTAACCTTTTTATTGAAAAGTGTCTGTTATCCAGAAGCATATGCTGTGTGTGCATGCACACACACATGCACATACGTGCCCATACACATACACAGTACCTCTCTACAGCTCTAAGTTAGGGAAAAATAACATGTAATAGGGAAAAGGGAAAAAAGAAAGAAAAAAAGAGAGAACTCACTGAGCTATTTTTCAAGTTAAATACCTTTTTCTTGAAAAACCTCTTACATAGGCAAATAAAATGCAGTCTGTTAAGCTACTTACACAATAATCACTGTGTCTTTGTTGAATTTTTTCTCTTGAACTGTACTGGAGCAATTTGGAGACACAGTATCTTCACTATCAGAAGACAAATCAATATACTGTATTCCTCTTTGATTCTTGAAATATGATATACTGGCTTTTCTTTCATTTTCTGTAGTTTCTGGAACACTAGAATCTTCTGCAAAAGAAAAAAAAGGAGAAAAGCATTTGAGCAACTTGAAAATAAAACAAATTTGTTTTTGATAATTATAACACTATACTAAAAATCTCTAATTCTGTGCACTGTTTCATTCTAAAACTAAAAATTCCTACCAATTTTCATTATTTTTTTAATTATTTATTTTATTTTGAGAGAGAAAGAGCACGTGAGTAGGGAGGGACAGAGAGAGAGTAAGAGAATCCCAAGTAGGCTCTGCACTGTCAGTGCAGAGTCTGACGCAAGGCTCGTTCTCAGGAACCGAACCCTAAAATCATGACCTGAGCTGAAATCAGAAGTCGGTGCTCAACCAGCTGAGCCACCCAGGCGCCCCTCTATGAGTTTTTAAAGAAAAATTAATAGTCAACCAAGGTTGATGTTAAATGATTTTCCATTTCACAGGTTAATTTACTTTCAAGACCCTAGTGGAAACTGCAAAAGAGAGTTTTGTGCTTTACAGTCTCATCTTTTTTTCTCTGTGCTTTTACTTCCTAGTACCCAGTTTTCACCTAAATGACCACAGACACTACAGCCTAAAAGACCTGCATTTCAATCCTGTCTCTTAGCCAAGTTATATAATCACTCTAGACCCCAGCGTACTCACCTATACAGATGCTAATAATCACAGGGCTAATATGAACATAAAATCAGTAAATATATATTAAGGATTTAGGTTAGACATTGGCATATAGCTTGCATTCAATAAACATTACCTCTTACACAAATGTTGGTTGAATTATGGTCCCTCTGAAATTCTTATATTTAAGTTGCAACCCCCAGTACCTCAGAATGTAACATATTTGGAGACATGGTCTTCACAGAAATTAAATTCAAATGAGGCTGTCTGGGCAGGGGCCCTAATTCAGTATGACTGATGTCTTATAAAAGAAAGACACAAAAGATATATGCATGAAGGGAAGCCATATGAGAACACAGTGAGAAGGTGCCCATTTGTAAGCCATGGCGAACCAAATGGCCACCAAACCTGCCAACAACTTTGATCCTGGGCTTACAGCCCCCAGATGTGTAACAAAATGAATGTGTGTTAAGCCACCCAGTATGATAATTTATTATGGCAAACTTCAGAAGCTAAAAACCACCATTCTCCCTTACATATTTGAGAAGGAAATCAGATTTAAGGAATTCAGATTAAAGTAGTCAATGCCTTGGTCTAGTGAATAGATATTAAGTTAAAAGGTATGAATTTAAAAAGCAATTACTGCAACTAACTAGCTTCTAGGTCAGTATCAAGTCCTCAAGTAATGCATAAACGTTTTTAATCATCACAATAATCCTGAGGGCACACAGTATATAACCATTTTATAGATAAACTAGGTATAGAGAAAACAATTTGCCCAAAGTCATGAAGGAGAAGTAGCAAATCTGAAACCCACGCCTAAAGGTCCAAATCCTTATACTCTTACCACTCAGGCCATCCCAATACCTGTCACAAAGTGAGAGTAGTCATTGTAATGAAGCTCATGAGCCATATCTATAAATGACATTAACCAAGGCCTACATGACTACTGTTCACCTGTAAGGCACTAAAACAAATATTTTACTTAGTACAATAAAGTCCTATCAACACTGCTGATAAGCAGATTACATTTTTTCCAAAAGAACAGTTTTATAAATGTTGAGTGAAGAACCTGCATTGGAACAAATTACGGCTATGTTAACTGCTATAAACATGAAGACACTTACAAATTCTGATAATTATGTTAATAATGATTACAGCCCAACTCCTATAAAATAAGTATAAGCATACTACAGACTCTGCTTTTACAAAGTGTTCCTGATACATCACAAATCATATACAAAATTGAAAACTAGATGTTCACTATATCAAAAATTTGGCCTAAAGCTAATGTACATCAGCTAAACATGTCAACCAGTGGCCTCTTTCAATCCAAATCAATTTGGATTGTCTGCTTTTTTTTCAGTCTCTTTATTCAAAATGAGTAATAATCCTTCCAAAATTAGGTACTTAAGTGCCTCAATGCCTGAGGGGGCAGGGCTAAAAAAATCTATTAATGAGTATTAGGAGAACTAGAGTTTCTTGAACTTAAGATTACATATTCATCTTTGAATTTCTACCCTTATTTTACATATAATACAAAATACACAATGAAGACCTATCAATTTTTAAAACTAATGCTTAGGGGTGCCTGGATGGCTCAGTTGGTTAAGCGTCCCACTCTTGACTGCAGCTCAGGTCACAATCTCACAGTCATGGAATCAAGTCCTGTGCCTGGCTCTGCATTTGGCATGGAGGCTACTTGGGATTCTCTCTTTTTCCTCTCTCTCCCCCCTCTCTGCCCCTCCCCTGCTTGAGCACAGGCATGCACGCTCTCTCTCAAAATATACAAACATTAAAAAAAAAAAAACCACTAATGCTTAATACGCTTACTAATGCTTAGCTAGACAAGAAAAAAAAATAAAGAAGTTTGGCTTACTCTCTATCATGTATTCAATTACTTAGAGCTCTTAGTGGTTATGTAATATATATCGTCAAACTACGTACATTATATACTCTATGTATACAATATATATTGTACAGAATATATGTTATACATACACTACACCTATATATAAAAATATACATTGAACATGTGCTCTGAATTAAGTGGCATCCCCACAGGCCAACTAGTAAGTGACTAACAGAAGATGTAGTTTGTGGGGTGCCTGGGTGGCTCAGTCGGTTGACTGTGTGACTTCGGCTCAGGTCATGATCTCGCTTGTGGGTTCGAGCCCCGTGTCTTCGGATTCTGTCTCCCTCTCTCTATGCGCCTCCCCTGCTCACACTCTGTCTCTCTCTCTCTCTCTCAAAATAAACATTAAAAAAAAAAATTAAAAAGAAAAAAGAGGTGGTTTGATAATATGGAGGATAAGGAAAGGTTACAATACAACAGCATTTCTCAAACTCAGAACCCCTTTTGCACTCTTCAAAATTGAGGACCCCTAAAGAGTTTTTGCTTATGTTGGTTACATCTAAGATACTACTGTATTAGGAAGTAGAAACTGAGAAACTTTATTAAACTATTTACATATTAACAAATATTATTATGAAAACTCTATCCCTCACGCCACTCCTCCCCCCAAATTTAGTAAGAGTGGCACTGTTCCACATTTGTAAAACCTTTGGTTTAACAGAAGACAGCTAGATTTTCTCTGCTTCTGTAATTCATCTATTGTAGTATACAGTTGTTACTTAGGTTTACGAAGAAAACCATGCCTCACACAGTTTTATAGGCAGGAAGGGTATTCTCATAGCCTTTTTACAATACTGTGGATATTCTTTGATACTAAATCCAAATTTGACAGGTGGTAGTTTTTTTAAAGGCCAACTGTAGAATCTGAAACCATATGAATAAACTTTTGTATTCTATTATATTAAAACCCACTGGTCTATCTTGCACTCTAATGTGTTATTTTGTAACACTGCGCGCATTGGTCATTTGGAAAATACTGGGTCACTTGCTCATTAATGTAGATCTTCCAAATGGTGGCACATTTTATGATATTTTATCAAAAATTAGCTTAATATCATTGATCTTGAAATATCTGGAGATTATCAAACTCACAGTTGTGGATACACTAGTTTTCCAAAATCCAAACTTTCCTTTGAAAACCAGAATTTTACCACCAGCAATTAATGCTGCCAGTTTTCCTTGATGTCACTGTTAATCTCTGAGAAAATGTCTGCTAAATAAATAAGCCTGCTTAGCTACAATTTGTTGGTCATTCTTTTAAGTAAAAATGGTATTCGGTGAAAAAATGACAAGTTAAACTCACAACTGAAAGCAAATGTTCAAATGCTTTCCCTTGAGATAATCACTGTATACTTCAGGATGCAGCAAAGGCTGGTTTATATTTTGTTTCACAAAGTATTAAAAATACACCCACTGTTGGGGCACTTGGGTGGCTCAGTCCCTCAGGTCTTATACCTGCCTGCTTCAGAATCTCTGTCCCCCTCTTTCTCTGCCCCTCCCCGACTCACACTTGGGCACTCTTTCTCAAAAAATAAACGTTAAAAAAAAAAAAGACACCTATTGCTAGGCTGAGATTTACCAAAATCAACAATTTTTACCACTTTACCAAAAACATTTTATTTATTTGTGGGGAAGGGACAGAGCGAGAGGGAGACCCAAAATTCAAAGCGGGCTCTAGGCTCCATGATGTCAGCACCAAGCCAGATGTTGGGCTTGAACTCCTGAACTGTGAGATAATGACTTGAGCCAAAGTGGAAAGCATAATCAACTGAGCCACCCAGGTGCCCCTAACCAAAACATTCTTAAGTGAAACTGACGTTTAAAAAATTTTAAGAATACAAAAAAAAATAAAAAATAAAAATAAAAAAAATAAAAAAAAATAAAAAATTTTAAGAATACAATGACTATTAGAACAGTTTGAAGTCTCGGCCTTGACTTATGCTAAGGTACCAGCAATTTTACCTACCATTGCTCTTCTACCATCAGTGCAAATATCAACAGAGTAAAAACAGCAAGTAATATCTTATTGTTATGAAAGCAGTTTGCCCTTAGGGATCCTAAAAGTTCACACACCACACTCTGAAAACAGATGGGATAGAGTAAGAGCTTATTTATATATCAACTTCCCAATACAGTCAATAATTTAGAATTAGAATAGTGCTTAATGCTTAGATTTGTTTGTTTGAACTATTTCTAGAAGTAAGCGGCATCAAAAATAGCTAAGAGGCAATAGCCAAACCTTGATGCAATGATGCTTTCTGACCCAAGGAAAACAAGCACTTTTAAACAGTAGCACATAAGAGACAGGAAACAGATAAATACAAATAAAAGACTGGTAAAGCGCAGAAATAATTATGAAGGCATCAGCTACTATTAAAATCTGAAATGTGCTAACTGCCTTCGGTGTAAAAGGTACTGTCCCAGGGTCGCCTGGCTGGCTTAGTCGGTTAAGCGTCTGACTTTCACTTAGGTCATGATCTCGCGGTTCGT